GAAAAAATGAAAAAATCTTTTACTAGAATCGGTGTGTCTATTTGGAATTCTATTTCACTTTCTGTTAAGACTCTCAACGTTTCTAGTTTTCGTAAAAAAACTAAATCACTACTCCTTAATGTTCTAGGTAATGAAGATAATTATTTGAATGTTAATTTTTTAATAGAATATTTTGTGAAGTTAACCTGATACCTCTAGTTGTAATTTTAGTCTTTTTCAAATAACAAAATCCCTTGTACTTGAATTTATATGTAAGGTGTTTCTTTCTGTATGTTTTTGTATTTCTTCTTTTCTTTTTTCTTATGTAATTTAATAACGCCTTTAGTTAAAGTCTTGTCCTGCCTAGATTAGCATTGTAGCTATTTGCAGGACATGAAGTTTTGTAAACCTTATATTTCTTTAAATAAAGAGTATATTAACGTTTTTTTTATTAACATATTAACAATCAGCCGAGATTTTTAAAAGTTTCTTGTAAAATCATCCTTCGTTTATTACAAGATAAACAAATTTCCATGCCAAATCTTTTTCTCTTAAATAATTCAGTTTTTTTCCTCTTTAATCAAACAGTCAAGGATCGTTTGGTATTTTAATCAATGTATTGGGAGAAGTAGAAAATATCCTTGATATGAAGTCTTAATATATTACTTAAAGTTTCAAACGTGCTGTCATGAACTACTCCACGAAGGTTTTCGAAGTTGTCATTGTCGTGAAATGCAAACTTTTACAAAAGGCTTTTACTGTCAACTTTTGTGCTATCAATTAGATAGAAATTAAACATAATGATTATCACGTGAATGGATGATTCGATATTTCATGAAGAAACTTAGTAGTTCAAAAATAAAACAAAGTAATAAATACTTCGTCATCGGTCGCGAAATGGCAATGACTTTTAAATCGACTTTTGTTTGTTGGTCAACGTGGAAAATTGGTGATTTTGACGTGAAAAGGAATAATTCGATTCTGAATACTACATTTTGTTTTAAGTTAATAATTGTGTACTAAAATGTTGTTCTACTTATAATAACGAAATTGGAAAAAGATCTTTTGGCATAATGACAAATAAATCAGGTCAGATCAGCATTTGGTTAAGAATATTAGACAGACACTGTAACCCTTTCTCATGCGCGCGTTCTTGGGCGTTACTAGAAGGTATTCGAAAGAGGTAGGCGTCAAGCAGAATTTATCCCGCGACCTTCGAAACGTGCACGAGGTTTGAAAACTTCCTGAAAAACTCATCAGAGTTTAAACAGTTACCCTTTGATTTAGTGAAGTTTTGAATTTGCACACTTAAGAACTTAAGTTTTAAAGAAACTGTTTGAACTAATCAATTTGCCTTTTCGGGATTTTATTTATGAACGATTTGCACTTTCGGATGCAATGAGATAATCAGGCTGACAAACGTTCAGCGACGTTTGGATGATTTTGACGAACATATTTAGCAATATTTGAGTTAATAAAGGCGGGTAGACGAACCGCGAATACAATACTAGATATGATTACATCAGATAAATGACGTGTTTCACATCGTAACAATTCAAAATTAAGACAAGAGCAAGCTGTCGTTGACAAGAGGGCGGTAACGCTCTGATCATTATTCAAAGGCGCTTATAGATAGTTAGGTCGGTTCAGATGAAACAAATGTCACACTCTTCGTATTTGTAAAACACCTTAAAACTAAGATAGCTAATCTGGTCGAAGAGCAAAGATGGTACTGGTTTTTTACATGTATTAAGACGTAAGCTGGCAGGAATTTAAATTCTTAGCTGATTTCTTGTTTGGATGTGGTGAGACAGGATGTCGCTGTGCACTGAACTATATAACACGCACGTACAGCGATACTAAAACCGCACTCATCTGATTTCCTCAGGAAAAGTATTTTTGGAATATATAGAGAACATGCAATACTCAAGTAGTCGTTTATTATATTTGTAAGAGAATATTCTTCTCTAACTTGAGAGATGTAAGGCTCCTTATAACATCAACAAAGTTGCGATGTGCCTTTGTGAGATTAAACTGAGTTGTGGAACTTTACCTCGAATATCGCGTGATATCCTTCATAATTCTGATGATAATCTGTTCAAATCCTCCCAAAAAGTCTCTTACAAACCGCAATTACTGTTCATTTGTGAGCATCTCAAAAGACTGCAACTTAATTTGAAAGTCAGATTTTTTCCACAAAAGAGTTGATATCATCCTGCGACTGTTGGTGGTTTTTCCAGTTGATTAATCACGAATAGCCGTACTGTTGTCAAAGTTAAACCTTCTTTCAAGAGGTACAAACATGACACCTACAAGTTTTTCTTTTTTTTTTCTACCAAGCTTTAGTCATGGCGTAGGCTAGCTATCAGTTTGTGAAGGGACGCGTTATAAAACCAATTTGAGCTCATACTGGTTTATTTTGAGTGATAGTTAGGGGAGTTTAAGACCCTAAAAGAAAGTCTGATTCTTATAATTTTTTCGCGCAATGTGGGCAGACAATTTCGAGTTTGTCTCTCGGCACTGATTTCAGTTATCGGTCAATCTATTTGTTCGATGTGTAAGCTATGATTCACTTTGTCCAGGAGTGATTTGCATGCACAATGACCTTTCTTGACGCTAGAAATGGAATTTTTGTGGTTTAATCTGCGGCAGCTGATATTAGAAGAAAACTTTGATTGTTTTTCTTTTGTTCTGCTGTGGCAGTTGTGGTCAAGTGATCCTTTGGGGGTAAGCCCTGCAGTTGATAATTGGCTATAGATAACAAAGATATTCTGAATGTCACGCAAGCTGTATAAACCGCAGACTTCTCGTAAACTGACAATTATTGACAATTCATAAAGTTATTGGGTACTAGCTATAGAATTCTTGTAAATCTGGTTCATATTTACAGCATTTACGAGGCGTGAAATACAAACAAATTACAAATCGTGCCCTTTGAGTGGCCTTCAATTCGAATAATTGAAAACATAACGATGTTGAAGAGAATTCTAATCATGCGACCTTTTAAGATCACTGACTATTGCTAATAAAGGAATATAGATTCTTTCCTGAATTAGCATTAAAATGGCTCGTTTCTATGGAGACAGTGTCAATTAGGTTGTCACATTTCCTGTCGGTTAAGGGCCTGCGGTGTATTAGTATTCCCAAGAGATTTCACAAATTTTTCATTTACTTTTCAACACACCAGACATGCTGGTGGATTTCTTGAACCGATAAAGGACATGTCCGCATCTTACCACATGTATCCTTTCAAATGTACTGCATTCCTTCGCTTGGAAGTTGTATAGCGCTAAACTAAATATATCTGGAATGGATTTAATAGATGAATTAACTTTTTAACGGTAAGCACAACTCACGATTAAACAAATTATAGGGGACTAATTGCTTCGTAGTTGTTATCGTTTCTCTCTAATGTTATTTTTGCCGTTTCTTGAAATCCAGGTGAAGGTTCCAGGATGAGATCTCTCTTTAAACTCGTGGTACTGCCGATTCTTTTATTCTGTTGTTCTTTAAATGTTTGTCTTGGAGTTATCGAGGAAAGTTTGGTGGAAAACAATACACAAACTTTAGGAGACGATGGATTGCGGCAAGGTCGTCCCAGTTCAGTCGTGGTTGAAACTGTTCCCACCTATTCGTGGGAATTTCGTTCAAAAAATGAAAAAGACATTAAATTTACGAGTGGTGGACTATATCAAGCTACGATTTCCGAGACAAAAAAGTCTCAAATAATATGTGACTTGAAAATGGGTGTTTATGCTCACGACGAGGACACTGAGGTCGAATTCAACATAACGAAAGGGAACGCTGAGGGGACATTCACTGTTAGTTCCAAGCGCGTGGAAGACTTCATTTTTATGGAAATTACAGCTGAAAGAAAACTAAATCGCGAAGAAGATGGATATTTCTTGCTCACTGTGGCAGCCCAGCATCCAGAAACAAATGAAGTACTAGATATGACTGAGGTGAATGTGAACGTCCTAGACTTGAATGATAATTTACCAAAATTTTCACGTCTGTTTCAACATGTGACTGTAGAGGAGGACATTCCTCTACACACTTCAGTTGCTCAAGTGGTTGCCAACGATGAAGACATGGGCCCAAATGGATTGCTCTATTTCTCTTTTATTTCAAAATCCCCCTTCTTCGCTATTGACCCAATCTCTGGGGTTGTAACTGTAACGAGATCTTTGGCCGGTAAACGGAGAAGAAGCTATGGATTACTAGTGACCGCACGAGATCGGACTTTGCCGTCTTCAAAAGCGCAGTCAGCGAAAGCAAAGCACAATATCACCGTTACAGTAAGGCCCGTGAACAGGTTTTCGCCAGAGATCAAGGTGAAGTTTCAGCTTGAAAAGATCATCGAAGGAAACAGCGATATTCGTTTTGCGGTAATTCAGGTTTCCGATCAAGATAACGCAAACAGTGGTGAAATTAACAAAGTGAGAATCACTTCAGGAAACATGGAGGGACATTTTAAAATCAGACGCTCACAGGATGCTTCGGACGAGTTTTGGATCGATGTTGTGAAGCCACTAGATCGTGAAAAAGCACCAAACGGCTATAAACTGGTTATTACAGCCTTTGACAAAGGCTCCCCGCCGCGCAGTGGAACCGTTACGTTACGTGTTTTGATTGAAGATGTTAATGACATCAAACCGGCTTTCAATCAAAGTCTCTATGAGGCCACCATTTCCGAATTAGCGCCGTTGTACACCTCCGTCGTTCGTGTATTTGTAGACGATGGTGATTTAGGCAACAATGCAAAAGTTTATTACACTCTGCGTGGGGGACACAGTAAAAACTTTCGTATAGACCGCGAAACAGGGCTCATAACTACCACAGGGCACTTAGACTATGAAACAAAACCAGTATTAGAATTTGACGTGTGGTGTTTTCAGTCCGATTCGTCGAAGCAAATGGCCAGTGCAAGAGTCTCTGTTAATATTGAGGATGCAAATGACAATGATCCAGAGTTTGAAAATCCATCATATTCACTGGAATTTTTTGAAGATTTGAGACCTGGAACAAAATTACCACTAACAGTCAGGGCAAATGATCCAGACAGTGGAAGTAATGGAAAGATTCAATACTCAATCATAAATAGGGAGTCACTTCCATTTGCCATTGATTCAGAGACTGGAGATATTATCTCGTTAACATCGCTGGACAGGGATGCAGGAGTACCAGAGTTTATTACCCTTAAGATACGGGCATCAGACTTTGGAGAGCCATTCAGAAGGGAGTCAGAGACTTATGTACACCTCCACATCAAGGCCAATAATGACAATCAACCCGTGTTTGAATATTTCCGGTGTACTATAAAGATCAGTGAAGATGCACCAGTAGGAACCATCTTAACCAGTCTTACAGCTGTTGACATTGATGTTGGTGAATCTGAAGGACTCGTCTATGGGATAGACCCAGTTGGAAACACAGATAAAACTTTTAGCATCAATCCAAGTACTGGACAGTTAAAAACTGCAAAATCTCTTCAAGGTGGTGAAAAAGAGTTTTCTCTATATGTCACAGTGACTGATTCTGCACTGAAGTCAAAGCATCCGGTAACTCTTAAAATCATGGTTGTTTCACCCCAGACTGCTACTGAATTTCTAAACTATGTTGAGACAAGATGCAGTGTTTTTCCTCATTACCTCAAAGCTGTGGAACATGTGAGGAAACAAGGAAACTTCAAACCATCTTATCCTTCAATTGAAAAAGTACCTGCCAAGCCAACCAATAGAAACTATCCAAGATTTCATTTGCATAAGTCTGTCATTGAAGTCAGTGAAGATGTAGCTGTGAAATCAACCATCATGAAATTCTCTGCTACTGATGATGATCAGGGATACAATGGTATGATTTTGTACTCCATAGTGAGTGGTAACATTGGCAGTGCATTCAATATAGACATGCATACTGGAGAGCTTTACATAGCTTCTTTGCTAGACAGAGAAACCATGGGAAAGTTCAGATTGAACATATCTGCCAATGATTGTGGCTCTCCTGGTAAAACAGCTCATACAGTCATCTATATAAATGTTATTGATGTGAATGACAATGCCCCTGTCTTTGAACGGGACATTTATGAAGTTAGTAAACCAGAGAACATCACACGTGGACAGACAGTTGTTGTAGTGAATGCAACAGACATGGATGATGGTGAAAATGGAAGAATTCATTTTAAATTGTTGAATGACTTTGGAGAGAAGTTCAGAATAGATTCCAGAACAGGTCGATTGTCAGTTGCCTACGCACTTGATTATGAAGACCGCGCAAAGTACAGCATAGAAGTACAAGCATTTGACAACTCTCCAACATCCCAGAGGATGGTATCTGCCATGGTTATTGTAAACCTGGTGGACATAAATGATAATGCACCTGCAATAGTTCCAAGAACTTTCAATGTTTCCATTCCTGAAGACCTCCCACCAGAGAGTGTTGTGGCTGCAATTTCTGCAGAAGATCCAGACACAGGGTTAGGAGGAGAACTTGAATTTTCTTTTGTGGACAACCTCAAAAGATTCAAGATTGATTCTGGAAGTGGTGTGATAAGATTACGTCGCCATGTGGATTATGAACAGGAAAATGTGTATAACTTGAAAGTCAAAATCAGTGACAAAGGGACACCGCGCCTATCATCATTTGCGAATGTAAACATTAACATTCTTGATGTAAATGAAAACAATATTGCCCCAATATTTCCTGGGGTGAGTCTTTTAAGGGCAACTGTGTCTGAGAACAGCCCTGTTGGAACTTCTGTTCTGAAGGCAGAAGCCTTTGATAGTGACTCATGGTATATGAGCTATTTTATCATTGATGGAACAGGAGTTGATAAGTTTGAAATTGGCCGTGAAAATGGCATCATCAGAACCACAAAAATGCTTGATTGTGAGGAAAGTGATCATTATTGGCTGCACATCCAGGTAAAAGACCGTGAAATGTCTCCACTACACACCAATATTCCAATGTTGATTACTGTGCTGCCAGTCAACGATGACCCCCCTTATTTCAACCCTGCTATTTATTTTCCATCTGTCATTGAAAATGCTGCACCAGGAGAAAGTGTTGTGACTGTGAAAGCTCATAATCCAAGTTCAGATGGGTCTAACCTGCTTTATTCTATCAAAAGTGGGAATGAGGCTGGTAGGTTTGCCATTGATAGGAAGAGTGGCCTCATTACAACAACCACATCTCTTGATCGTGAAGAACAAGATAAGTATGAACTGGAAGTCAAGGTGTCTAATGGTGACAACCCACCAAAATCTGCATATATTACTTTTCCAGTGACAGTTGCTGATGCTAATGACAATGGTCCTTACTTCTTGAAATCCTTCTATGATGTTTATTTTAAGCAGCAGGATGATCCTTCAACTTCTGTTGAGATCTTGAGAGTTGCAGCGGTGGACAAAGATATCAGCAGCAATGCTGATCTGACCTATGGGTTTTTGTATCCATCAGAAATAAGTCCTGGACTGTTGAAAATTGATCCAAAAACTGGTGTCATCTCTGCCAAACTTTCCTGCCAAGGTGAGGATTACCTTGAGTTTGAAGTCAATGTTACAGATGGTGGAGTACCCCCAAGATCTGCAACAGTTCCTGTTTTCATGGAGTACTGCATGTCAAAGAACCCACCTAGTTCTAACCCACCCCGGTTCAGGCAAAAGGTCTACAAGAAGTCATTTAAAGAAGATGCTGAGGTTGGATCTGTTGTGGAACTTGTTTCTGCCCATGATTCTGATGGTGACTCTTTGACATACTCTATTATCTCAGGAAACATTGGAAACAAATTCCTAATTGACAAAGCTAGGGGTGAGGTAACCATTGCCAACAAACTTGATCATGAAGAAGCCAGTTCTTATACTTTGACAATCCAGGCATCTGATGACTATAACGCTAAAACAACATCTTTGGAAATTGAAGTTGAGGATGTCAACGACAACTCACCAGTGCCCTTGATGACAGAGTATCAAGTTCATATTCCAGAAGATGCCAAAATTGGATCAGTACTGACCAAAGTTGAAGGTAACAATTATTGCTCTTTGCCAACAGATACTTTTCAATGTATACTGATTATTATTAATCATCATAGTCTTCCTCTGGTGTACCTGGAATTGTAGAAAAAAAGTGTTGTGATATGATGGGATCACTATCTGAATTGTTGTCAAAGCCAGACCTAATAGTGTTAGTTTGCAAACATAACCTCTTGCATGCCCAGACCACAATCATATACTCCTCAGGAAAGCTGTATTAACAAACATTTAAGGACGAGTAAGAGAAAGCTAATTATCCTTTGACTTTTACATCAATTTGACAGCAACTGATGGAGATGGCGGAGCCAGTGGGTCTGTAAAGTATGCCATTGTGGGCTCAGTCAAACAAAAGTCCATTTCATTGTTCATGATCCAGAGCTTAACTGGCAACATCAAGACAACAAAGCCTCTGGACTATGAAGATTTGAAGGAGCATACTCTTATAATTGAAGCCACAGATCAAGCAACTCCCAAGAGACAAAGTCTCTTTACCATTGTGATTAAAGTGGATGATGTGAATGATCACAAGCCCATGTTTGTTAGATCAGAGTTCAAAGCTGAAGTGAATGTTGATGCCTCCATTGGCACTCCCATTATCAAAGTGTTTGCAACTGATGATGATGATGGTACAAATGCATTGCTTAAATTTTCCATCAAAGGTGGAAATACAAATGATGCATTTTACATTGATCAGAATTCAGGAATTATACAAGTAGCGGCAAAATTAAGTAGTGCTATTGATGAATACAGTCTTCAAGTGCAGGTGTCAGACAGTGGAATCCCAACTCAAACAGCTGAAGTTGAAGTGAAGGTGAGTTTAGATGGCATTCTTTTGTATATCAGATATTTTAAAATGTTGTTGAAATATTTTTACTTCAGTGCTAAATGAGAACAATAAGGGGGGATTTCCAACTTCAGAGGAGTGGCATAGCTGGTAGATTTGTTATGTTGGGGGTTTCTTTAAGATTTAGTGTCAGGAGGTCAGCCTCAGGAGACTTCAGTGGGCAGAAAAGATCATATGAAGTGAATATGTTTATGACCAACTTGAACCACTGGTACCTGTTACCCTCTGTGCAATGCAAGCCCTGGTTTTCAGGTTTTCTCTGTGACACCTTGTCTGTTTGCCTGAAACTTTGTGGTTGTTAAAGCTAGTTTGAAAAAAAAATTTCTGTTGTATTAATTTTTACTAACATGTATTATATTTTCAAAGTGTTTGTTTCATGGGCCTTATTTGGTCTATGTGTAGGGTTTTGGGTTTCACGACTTAATTCCATGTACCATTCTAATGTCAAATATTCTGGTCAAATCTACGATAAAGTTCTGTTTGATTATCTCATTAACTAGATTCTATTTCCAAAATGTCTTTAGATTTTGGTAAGAGGCATTAACCAGCCTGTTGAATTCGAGCGACCTTTATACCAAGCTTCAATCAAAGAAAATCATCGTCCTGGTCATCCAATTATTAACGTGATATTCAATGGCAGCTTGCCGTCTTATGAGTTTGTGCCACAGGATAACGCCTGCTGGAAAGACTTTGATATCAACCGGAAAACTGGGCTAGTTACTAACAAGGTAAACATCACATTGTTATTGACTTTTTCCAGTGAACCTGCTGAGAAAAGGTTCGATTTGTTTCAACTTAACAGTATGTTACATGTTGAAGATTTTTCGTGTGCACAGCAGTTCATTTTGTGAACGTGATGCTATTATTATTTGGTATGCAGCAGATGAAAGGATTTCCTCTCTCGAAGTTATTAAATTAACATTACAGCAATTATTTAACGCATCGCAATATGAGTAATATTTTTACGGTGAAAGAACCTTTTTGGCTTTCTTATTTGTTTAATTGCTCAAGGAGGTAACTTTATAAAGGCAGCTAGATTGTTCGAAAGCCTAAACTGATCAGTGTTTAGTCCGGCACTGACCCTAACTGATTTCCCTCTAAAACCTGCTAAAACTTAAAGTATATTTAAAAGGTTTAAAGACATATTTTGTGAAGTTAATCAGTTGCTGACAATCTCTTGTGGCACGTGATTTGCCTAGTACTGTCTTCCTTTTCTCGTGAAATACGGTTGGACTCAAAGGAAAAAACTAATGTGGACAATCTGAACTGTTACCAAATACAATTCATTTTAATGCAAAAAAACAAGTACAGAAACTTTAAGCTTTAAAAAGTCATTTCAATATCTTATGACATTATCAAGTTACAGGTTGTCGTTGCCAAATTCTTTAATTTTGGGGGGGGGGGGTAAAAGCGTGTTTATTGTTAAGAGGTAAATGGTTATCTTTCAATTGAAAAGAGTTACATGATCTTTTGATTGCAACTGCATAAAAGGTCTTTGTAAACAGAACTTAGCTGTACGAAGCAGGAGATTCCGGTGAATTGATCTGCAGCATTTCTCCTCATGCTAAGACAAAAATAGATGTTTCATTATCTGGAAATATGTGAAAACTGCCTTTGAGTAACAACTTGAAATGGCTCGCGCGACTGTTTTAGACCCTGCTGAGTATGAACAGAAAGTCTTAAGATTTTATTCGTTAATCTTATTGCAAGGTGTACTTTGAACATATTATTTTATCACTTAATGGAAGAGTAATGAGATTGTTGTCACAAAAGTCGAGTTCTTGAAGCAAATTATAAAGTTACTTAGCATCAAGCATTATGACGCAAGCTCTCAAGATTAAGTGGGATTGATTTCCGTTTGCAAAATTCTTGTCGTTGCTCCCTACAATTCTATGCTAATAAAATATTTTCATTCGCGACATTTCATCTTAGAAGCATGTGCTGTTCTTATTCTTTAAATGTTGGCGCAAGAATGTTAAGAAAAAAAAAACAGTTGCATACTGGACTTTATTAGTTAATTGTCTCGCGTGGTTGCGTTCCGTGATAAATTGCAGGAGCTTTATGGGTATGCGTTGAGCTGTAATCCGACATTCCCTCACCCTAGTAACTCATAGCACGTTCCAATTTATTATGGTTTTCAAATAAAACAGACAAAAAATTGCTACTTTAAGATAAAAAGTCATCCACTGACCACCAAGGCTCAGTGAAATGTTTTAGACTTTGCTTGAACCGTTAACAACGATAAGTTACGCTTTTGGTTGTTGCATGACTTGGGGCTGATTGATCATCTGTTCGTCATCGCCTCTTTGGCGTCAATGACAAAGGTCATCTTTTCCACATGAGACTTATCTGCCGATTGAACCTTCTAGAATGCATTTCTGGTTTTATCAGTCCTTAAAATAGCATATTGAATGAACTTAAAGAGTCTGAACGTTTATGAAATGATTTTCATCGTAACAAGTTTTTGATTTTCCCTCGCGTGATGTTTGTGTAACTTTTTGCTTAGCAGCTCACCAAAGGTCATTGTGAAATTTTTACGTGTGCGCTTGATTGTTAGAAAATATTTTAAGCCCTTAAATCCGCTTAACAGAGAAAGGTTATGACACTGAATGAGTTTTTATTTTAGTTTAGGTTGTCAAATTCAGTTCGAGTCGATAACAAACGAGGATATTTTACTTTTTGGATATCAATAGTTTTTCATCAGAAGTATTTTCCTGTTTGTTTCTCAAAATGGTTACATATTCGTGGGTGTTCTGATAAAAATACCAGTAAAAATAGAGACAGATGTTCTTCTGTTCACCCGAAGGTGTTGTTTTTTCTATAATTTGAAGAGGATGTTCGTGATCTGACAAAGTGTTCTTTTTTCATTTGGTGCGCCAGTCTCAAATCACATTACAGTTTTCATTGCAAAGTCATTAAGTCGTCATAAGTCTAAATCATGAAAAATGGGCGTAAATTGTTAACCTCTTGAAATCGTTATATTTTGGAAAATTATCAGCTCTTCGACGTTGTTTCTCGACCCTCGGTCCCTTTCTTTTGATACTCTCTCGAAACTTGATAACAAAGCAAATATTAGGCCGGCAACCTGACGCTGCATGTTAAAGACTACTTTGAATTTTGTTATCTGTTCTACTTTCTTGGGACGAAGAATATGTTTTTAAATGACTTTGAGTGTTTTTTGAAAGGTATTATCATACTACGTGTCTCACTTAAGTTATTATAAGAAATAAGTGCAACAAGCTGGCACAATTTTATTTTCATGCCGTTTCAGTGGAACCAAATTTAGAAGTATATTGGTATATTCCCGGCAGGGTTTACTGTAATCAAGTTCATTTTTTTGTCTGCTTCTAATGGTAAATTACTGTAAAAAAGAGCAAAATTAGACTGTAACTTTCCCATCATAACTTGGAAACTATCACATTAGAGCAGAAATGTTAGAAATGTTTCGAGTTGTTGAGCAACAAAACAGAGGAGACAAATTCGGGAAAATGGAAGAGGAAACAAACCACATTTGTGACGCAAAGCAATTTTCAGCTATTTTATACGGTTTGAATCTAACCGCAACTTTTGCTTTTAGAAACCTTTCGATGCTGAAGAGCTTACTGAGTGCAAGTTCTTAATTCGTGGAACCAGTAGCGATGGAAATGGACAGACTCAACTGATTGTTAAAATAATCGACGAGAACGATCATGCGCCGGCATTTAGCCAACTGCTCTACCTGGGACACATCAAGGAAGGCTTACCTGAAGACTCGCCTGTAATTGGTGGAGATGGGAAAGCACTTGCCATTCAAGCCAGTGATGCCGACGTCAGCGGTAGTGATTTGATGTACGAAGTTGTTGGATGTTCGATGTTCACGATTGACTCACAATCTGGAGAACTGATGACAGCAGAGGTAAAGAGAATATTGCGGGAAGAATTTCATTTAGTAGGTCTGGCTCTAGAAGTTTCTTGGTCTGCTGGTTAGGTTTTGTAATTTGGCAAGGCGCTTTACTCCTAATGCACCTCTGTACACGCAGGAATATGCGGTGTATCTTTAACTTTTTTCAGTGAGACCAACTTGATTGCCTTTGTTAAGTAGGCTTTTCTTTTCTTCCTTCACAGATGCTGGATTTTGAGTCCGTGTCGTCGTACAGGTTCAAGATCAAAGTTTCTGATGATGGAACACCCAGTTTTTCTGCTTTTACAGATGTCGTTGTCTCGGTGCACGATGTCAACGACCTTCCTCCAATCTTTTCCTCTCCTGTGTTCGAAGCAGTAGTCTTCTTACCAACGTACTCTGGTTCTGTTATAACCACAGTCACAGCTGCAGACGGAGACTCCCAACCTCTCACTAGCCTTACATACTCAATTGCCACGCCATCTCTCACGCACATCTTTGATATTTCCCCAAGACAAGGTGTTATAACCGTGAAAAACTCTTCACTCATACATCAAGCAGTTTATCACGTTCAAGTCTCTGTTTCGGATGGAAACTTTAGTAATCAAGCCACTGTGAATATTGAATGTAAACCGCTGCCAGTCAGTGATCTTCAGTTCAGTCAGATGGAGTACAACGCGTCAATTGTAGAAGGAATCAGTACAGCTGCCGACATCGTTCAACTGCAGACTGTAGGCTACTCAATCGGCGACACCATTACCTACTCAGTCGTTGTTCCATCGCATTTCTTCGTCATCTCCGAAAGTACAGGCATCGTGTCGACGTTGCCAGGAAAAACGTTTGATCGAGAGACAACAGATCGATATGAAATCGTTGTCCAAGCTCGGGACGACAGAAAACCAATGCCTCGAGTAGCTCAGAGTCTGTTGTACGTGATTGTGGATGATGTAAACGACAATGCACCGATTTTTACCAAAGATGTGTATTTCTTCGTGATCCAAGTTAGTGCAGATGTCGGAGCATTTGTGGGACAGGTCCAGGCAAGCGACAAGGATATCGGCAGCAACGGTGCCATCAAGTATGTGATTTCCGTTGTTTACATCGGGAAAGTTAGGGTTGTTTTGTTTTTTGGAAGCTCTTTGATAGCATCCAGCTTCTTTCTTTTTTCGTGATGTTGCTGATGTATGTTATGTTTGTTCTATCACAGGTACTTTCTCAAAGGAGGAGGGGAAGGCCGTTTCGAGGTCCGCTATGCCACTGGAAACATTGAAGTCAGCAGGTTGTTAGATGGCATAATAGTTCCCTCTGTCTTTACTCTTGAAATTGAAGCGCGAGATGAAGGCGTGGTACGAATGAGTGCCAAAACTATTGTGAAGATCAAGGTCGTGGATAAAGAAACACCTATATTCGACTACTTGAGTTACAGCAAGGTGGTAAGAGAAGATGTGAATGTTGGTGAGGAAATTACCCGAGTACAAGCCAGAAGTCCTGGTGGTGCAGATATCTTGTATACAATCTTGGCTGGAGATCCATATAATCAGTTCGCCATTGATTTAAAAACAGGTTAGAATTAAGCACCTCATACATAACAAAAGGCCGCTATTTTTATCCCTGCGCGCACAATTTCACGTATTGGAAAACTCTTTGAGCCATAGCTTACAAGAGGGGAAATGCAATTTGATAAATAAGTTGTTGGTACTGTTACGTGTACTGGGTTTCATAAGAAAAGAGACACGAGTTCGTTTTATGTCAAATTTATATTGTTTGGTTTTTGCTTGTAAAGGTCTTCTCATATCTTTATTTGATTTAACTAGGAGTTCTGACGGTAGAATCCTCTCTGGACTACGAGGTTCGGACTAGCTACCAGCTTCTTGTGCGTGCTACTGACGAATCGACGACGTCTTACGGAGAAATCACAGTGCTTATCACCATCACTGATGTCAATGACATCGCTCCACTGTTTAACCAATCACTGTATCTGGCGACTATTCCTGAAGACACTCCGACTGGTACCTCGGTGGTTTCCTTCACAGCGTTCGATAGAGACTCGGGAGTTAATAAGCAGCTAAGTTACCGACTGGAAACATTGAATTCCCATAATGATAGCAAAACAAGTGAGTTCTTCGTCATCAGCCAGGCAACAAGTCAAATAGTAGTTGCGAAGAGACTGGATTACGAACAGAATATAGTCCATGAATTGAAACTGATCGTTACAGACGGTGGGACTCCCCCGCTGACTGGAGAGGCTCGTGTGCGCATTGTGGTCGAAGACGCAAATGATAACCCGCCCAGTTTTGAACAGAACAGCTACGCCACGTCCATTTCAGGCAGTGCAGGGCCTGGATTCTTTGTTACACGCGTGATAGCCAGTGACCCGGATGACGATGACGTTGGCAAGCTACGTTACTTGATTAAAGCCGGACACGGAAAAGAATATTTCGAAATAGATTCAACGTCCGGTGTTCTGACCATCTCAAAGCATGTCGGTTTTGAACGCGGTAAGGTGTATGACCTTAGTGTTGAGGTAACGGACGGGAAATCATCAGCGGTGACCAGTGTACGGGTGGTGATCGGCGACACTAACGATCACAGTCCAGTATTCGATCAAGAAGTCTACCCTGTGGACTTCTACGAGAATTATCCACCAGGAACATTTGTCACCATGGTTACTGCTACCGATTTAGACTCTGGTGATTACGCCCGTGTCAGGTATTCCATTGACGACGTAGACGCCGCTGAGAAGTTCATGATTGATGGCGAAACAGGAATGATTTACAGTAAGATTAGTTTTGATCGCGAGAATTCATCAGAAGCTTTTTCGTCAATTCCCGTTCGAGCCTCTGATGGAGGAGGACGGTTTGGGTTCTGCACTGTACAGGTACGTGAGCGAAGTTGTGATGCCCTTCTTGTTATTATGACTCCATTGAATCTAGAAATTCAGCTGTATTTAAAATGTTATGATTGCTCTACCTTTAAAGAATATTCGCACAGTATCCTATTGGAGGCAGTGGACGCCATCATCATTTATTAACCTAATTTCTTTAACATTTTTCCTTGCTTTCATGATTTTTCCAATATTTACGCACAATTTTATTCACTTTGAATCGTCGATGACCCTAAGCTAACGTCGAAACGTCGTCGTTGCTCATTAAGATAAAGGTAATATTAACTGAACCAATTCTTTACAGGTTAACGTCCTTGATGAGAATGATAACCAACCAAAGTTTGAGCTTCCGCTGTACGAGGTGACAATCCACAGTTCAACCCCAGTTGGAACTTCCATCTTGATGACGTCAGCAAATGACGCTGACACCGGAAGTAATGGTGCCTTATCATACGTCATCCTTGGTCACCAGACCCCACCCGTGTTTGAAGTCGAAAAGGACTCGGGATTCATAAAAATTTCTCGGCAGCCCGAAACGAAGACCTACATGTTCCACGTATTAGTCAAAGACGGCGGATTTCCATATTTACGTAACACGGTGAAAGTGTCGGTGAACGTGCTAAGGAAGAACGCCAAGATTTTACAATTTGAAAAGTCAGTGTACAGAATCCTTGTGCCCGAAGACCTGAACACCGACGGTATCATAACGACTTTAAGAACCTTACTTCCAGGCAGCACACGTCCACGAGTTGGGTTCCAAATAATTCCTGGGAATTCGCCATCATCGAAGGGAGATCACTTCAGTATTGATGCTAGCGGTCAGATTAAACTCAAGCGGCGTTTGGATTACGAGACATTGAAAAGATACGTTTTAGTCATCGAGGCTAATTCCTCAGAAATATCTCAAGTCGCACGAACTGTGGTAATTGTGTCAGTGACAGACGTGAATGATAACAAGCCTCATTTCGTGGCCAATCCTTACAGGGTCAGTATCCCAGAAAATATGATGGTCAAATCAAAGGTCTTGAGAGTTTTTGCCGAGGATTTAGACGACTTCCAAAATGGAAAAATATTGTACGATTTTGGAACTAAAACAAATTTGTTTGCTATTGATCAGCACACTGGCTGGATAACAACAGCAGCACCAATCGATCGCGAAGTCGCAAACTCTCTTGTGCTGAGAGTCCGCGCCACCGACAAAGGCGAGGTCACACAGCTGTCAGGTTATACAGTCGTTGAAGTGACTGTGCTGGATGTTAATGACTCCCCACCTCAGTTCACTGAGGACATCTTCACATTTTCTGTTCGAGAGGACGCCCTAATTGGTCAAGAAGTCGGCACATTAACATCTTTTGACAACGATACCAATTCTGATGTATACTTCTTTATCATGTCTGGCGATCCTCAAACTAAATTTGGAATCGAGCAAAAGACTGGCAAAGTCTTCGTGCACTCTCCACTGGATCGTGAATCCGTATCGTCCTACAAGCTGAATGTAAGCTGCTCAGATGGTCTTTTCACCAGCTTCACTACTTTGATTATCACAGTCCTTGATGCTAATGACAATGTGCCAGTATGTACCCAGTCAATTTCTATTGTTCATCTCAGCGAGGACGTGAAGCCTGGTACTGAGGTAATGATAGTGGAGGCCACTGACGCGGACGCTGATGATAATGGCAAGTTGAGGTATTCCGTGTTTGGACAAGGAATGGGTTTCTTTGGAGTTGAAAACGGAACTGGTGAGTATCATATCCATATCACCAATGAATGTGCCGTGATGTTTAATGTTACAGTTTGTAGTAGCATTACGTTACTTTTTTTTTTAGTAGCTTACTGTTGCTGCATTCCTATGTCATATATTTGTTGGTTAAAGATGGCTTTACAGTCACTGCATTTGAAACAGCTGGTTTTGAGCGACTCGAGGCCTAACAATATGTCTCAGATTGGTCGCATTTGTGGGATACAAAAAAAGAGAGAGCAGGAAAATGGAGACGAAAGGTGTGGGGGGAGGGGGGGGGGAAGGAAGAGGGGAGGTGGAAGAGGTGTTTGTGGCTGGAAGAGGTTCCTGGTGAACCAACATTCCATTCAAGAGGGGCGCTGGAATGGTTCATTAGTATAACACTTTGCCGGCCCGAAAAACTTAACTTTCTTCTCTTTCATTCTCTCACTAGGTCGTCTTGTAACTGCCAAGTTATTAGACCGCGAGGTACAGGAAATGTACAATTTCATGGTGTCAGCGGAGGATCGCGGAGGACAGGCGTGTTTTAGTAACATAACGGTCCTTCTTGACGATGTGAATGACAATGGACCTGTTTTTAGTCAGTCAGAATACCGAAAGGCTGTATACGAGGACGCCCGTAGAAATAAAGTGCTTCTGCAGGTGAGGGCAGACGATTCCGACTTGGGAAAGAACAGGAAGATCTCATATTCTTTATTGGACACGGCAGGCGATACGTTCAGTGTTGACTCCGAGACCGGTGTGATAACGCTTACGAGCGATCTTAATAGAGAGAAGCAAGCGGAGTACGTGTTGACCGTGCAGGCCGAAGACGCAGGTGTCCCCCCTCAGTCAGAAACGTGCAATGTAGTGATTCAGGTTTTGAATATAAACGATGTTCCTCCGGAGTTTGACAAATCCAGCTACAAAGCCAATGTGAGCGAAGATGCTGCAAAAGGTACGAAGATAACAAAAATGAAGGCCATCAGCCGAGAGGCTGGACACGAAGAGTTCTCCTACGAGATTCTGAAAGGTCCAGATTCAGACATCTTTAAAATTGACAAGAAAACAGGAGATGTTACTTTGGAAGGAAACCTGGATTTTGAAACAAGGAAGAGTTATTCGTTGACAATTCAGGCGAGTGATGTTGGTCCGCCAGTCCTGACTACAACTTGTTCACTGAGTGTGTTAGTCACTGATGCTAATGATCACGTCCCTAAGTTTGGACAAGATCTTTACACCGCTAGAGTGGACGAGAACTCTGATTTGGATTCGTTTGTACTTCAAATGTTCGCCACAGACCTTGATAGCGGTTCCAACCGAGATATCCGTTATTCCATCGTGAAAGGAAACGATGCAGATAAGTTCAAAATTGATGACATCACTGGCGTAATCAGCATCAAGGCGCATGTCGATCATGAATCTGTCTCTCAGTACGCTCTAACAGTGCGTGCTCAGGATAAGGGGATACCTCCTTTGTCAGCAGAGACCCAAGTTGAACTTAGCATCAACGACCTGAATGACAACCCGCCTGAATTCACTAACACAAATTTTACTGTCTCTGTCAGTGAGTTAGCCGCCATAGGTACTACTGTCATCTTTTTACGGCCTCATGACCGTGATGGTCCTGGCAATAAAGGTCCATTTACTTTCATGAAAATTAAAGGCGACGAAACGAAGTTTAAACTGGAAAGGGACGGTCTGATAACCAAAGCAGGACCTTTGGATCATAGAGATAAGGAACACAAATTCGAGATCCGCGTGTTCGACAGTGGCGAGCCACCGATGTACACGGACAAGACACTCACTATCATTGTAGTTGAAGGCATTTCGCATCCTCCAGTCGTGGAGCCGCTAACCGTTTACCTCAAATTGTATAGTTCGCAGTTTAACGGTGGTGTCATCGGAAGTGTCAAAGGAACTGATGCCGATGGGGACCCTCTGACGTATTCGATTGTTGCGCCTCGTTCTGGTAGCCCCTTCACGATAACAAACAGTGGAGTGATCAGTGCCACTTCTAACGTTCCAAGTCGAATCTACAATCTGAATGCCAGTGTATCCGATGGCAAGTACCTCACTTATGTTCCAGTGAAAATTGTTGTGTCAGATATAACTGAAGACATCCTGCGACATTCCCTGACTCTGCGCCTGTCGGCTCTTAGCCCGGGAACATTCGTGGAGAGGAACCTGGGCAAGTGCAGAGACTACTTGGGATTCCTGCTTAATGTTCCTGCTGAGAATGTCCATATATGGAGCCTGCAATCTTCTGACACAAGTTTGGATGTTGTATTCGCTGTTATGAAGCGAGTCAAGGTAGGACTTACCTCTATGACGAAGGGAATTCGATTGAGCAAATTTTTCGTGGAATGAATTTTAAAACATCTATATTTTGATATCGACGGAGAATCGAAGGTCATTTAAAGCCTAAACAAGGGCTTCTTATTAAATTCGAGTTTTAGGTGTCGAAATTGTTCGATCTATGTATGATTTCACGTCAAAAGTCATTTGGAACAGCATTGGTTTCCCATTTCTTCGCTCTGTGATTAATCTCGCGCCATCCTCTCAATTAATTATATACAAAACTAAAAGAAATTGCGACTTGCTTTTTTCACATCAATGCCGTACATGACGAACTGTGCTTGTTTTTACTTTAAGTTCTCATTGGCTACTTGTAATTTTTATCGTTGTTCTGATTGGTGGAAGTGCTTCCTGTTCATTTTGATGATGTGATTTCTCACTGTTCCTCTTCAGGGTTTCTACGCATCTCAGCACATCGCACACAAGCTGAATTCTTCCCGTGGTGACTTCCAGAGAGTTGTAGGAGTCCAAGTAGGGTACATTGGTGTCAGCCAATGCCCTCTAATGCACTGCCCCGAAAACTACTCATGTCAGACGGTCTATAAACCACAGAACAAGCAAATAAGAATCATGTCTGAAAGAACCACTTACACTTCTTATGAACACAGCAGAAGTCATGCTTGTATGTGTAACCGCGACGCTGGTAAGATCATGAGGAAATTGGTCGTGTATGATTCATTTGGTCGAATTTAATATTATTGGTGGACCTTACCCTTAAAGTTTTTAACTCCCTTAGAATGAATCACTGTTTAACTACTTTTTTTCTAGTTTACTTTGAGGCTATGAGTAGGAACCTTTAAGTTTTGCATTATTTCTGCTTCTTATTTAAATCAAGGATTCTCTGTATCATGTCAAAGTGGTAGAAATTTAGATCCCCTTTCTCCGCTGGTCACATTCTGCATTTAACTAATCGTGTGATAACTCATTCCCAGGCTGCGCAAGTGGTAAGTGTGCGTCCAATCCGTGTCCTGCTGGTTATGAGTGCGCCGACTTTCCCTTGGGGTTCCAGTGTAAGTGCGTTGATTCATCCAAGTGTCAACCTGACAAACCGGGCTGCGAAGATCAATCCTGCATAATAGGTATCTTCCACGAAATCGTACCTTTTTTCGTAAGATTAATTTCATTAAAACAGATATTTATAGCAAAACTCAAGCAAAGTCGAAAGAGACATTACAAAGAGAGCATTTAGTGATGCATTCGTTGTTTTTTTTTACAGGTAATAATGCCATATCGTTTGGAGGTGATAGTTACATCCGCTATAAATTGAAGCAGTCATTCGATGAACCAAGCCGCTCTATTAGTCTTGCTCTCAAGACCACTGAACCTCGAGGAACACTAGTGTGGGCCGCTGGACAGTATGACTACAGTATTCTAGAGGTATGTCTTATGTGTGCTCATTAATTATATATGAACATGTCACGTTTGTCTAGAAAAAGAAATCTTTCAGAAGCAAAGGTTTCTAAATCCAACATGGGTTTGAAAAGTGTAATCTAATCGATTATATCCGTGATCTTTGTTTTTACAGATTGTGAACGGCCGTCTTCAGTTACGCTTTGATTTTGGCAGTGGGGCCGGGGTTGTAAACTTAGACTGGGCCCGAGTGGACGATGGTAAATGGCATCACGTGGCAATCATGCGGCAAGGTAACCACGCCACTTTAATTCTGGATCAGGGTCGTCACCGCGCCTGGAACAAATCTCCTGGGAAGATGAGAATACTGAATCTTGATGATAACGCGATTTACTTCGGCGCCAAAGTTGTTAAATCAAAGAGTAGGAGGGATCTCAACAATCGAGGTGAGAAGAATTGTTTACAGCTAGAAGTGCATGCTGCCCAGCAGCATAATTGATTCATATTACTTTCAACTTTGTAACCAGGTGTTACTGTTTTCGTTCGACAGAACTTAGATATGAAATTGTGTCACTTAGAACTAACTTAAATTTTAATAATGATGATGATAATAATAATAATAATATTGACCATAATAACAATAATAATAATAACAATAATAATAATAATAATAATAATAATAATAGTAGGATTTAGCAGTGGACGTTCCCCAAAGTGGCTCTTCTTTTCTTCTTCTTCTTCTCGTCCACTGTACGCATGTAAGTAAGTTGAAGTCACGTGCTTCCACGTCACTTACGCACCCTCCTAGGAAAATTACTGCATTCTGAAGTGAAGGATTTGAGGTACAGTAATTAACTGAAAAACATTTTCTTACAGGTCATTTAGTCGAGGATGGCTTCAAAGGTTGTCTTCAAAATTTGAATTTGAACAACCAGGACCTGCCCATGTCTGGCTCAAACAGTTACGTAGCTGCCGAACCATTTAATGCGGTACCTGGCTGTCAGTTATCAGGTGGATGCCGCATCAACACCTGTCCACGTGACAGCACATGCATAGAGACCCTGACATCGAAGAAGTGCGAGTGTCTGCCTGGTCATTCAGGTTCAGATTGCCGTGCATTTGTGGACTGTGGTGCCAAGCCTTGTCAGAATGGTGGGACATGCGTCCCTCATCCAACAGACCAATACCAGTGTAGATGCAAAGACGGTTACTCAGGTACACAATGTCACATCTACACTGGTCATTGCGCCAGTGCGCCTTGCAGAAATGGCGGAAGCTGCATTCCAAGCGGCGAGAGTGGCTTTATTTGCACATGCCCAGCGGGAGTTCAAGGAAAGACTTGCGAGCAAGACACAAGGCCCTGTTCGTCTAACCCATGCGCAAACAACGCGAATTGCACCAACCATGGTGAATCTTACAAATGTCATTGTCGCGCTGGCTTTTCTGGGGAGATTTGTGATGAAGGGTATCGCTGCAGTAAAGATTCCCATTGCCAAAACGGAGGGACATGCCAAGAAAACCAGAAGAATAGTGCTGCAGTCTGCCGTTGCCTTCAGGGTTATACGGGGGCTGATTGTTCTGAAGATGTTGATGAGTGTGCCAGTTCCCCTTGCAAAAATGGAGGCGTGTGTGTGAACCAATTGGGAAACTTTGCATGTAACTGTTCTGCAAGCTCTCATGGTGGAAAACTTTGTGAGCTAGTGCTCACTAGTATTGAGGCCCGACGCGGCTGGCCATTGGGACAGACAGAAATCATTGGAATTGCTGTAGTGCTCGCAGTTATTCTGCTCATTGTATTCCTTGTTGTAATTTTCCTTCGACGTCGAGCCAAACGAAGACGAGAAAAGCGTGAACAAGCTGGAGCTGTTAGCACGTCGGTTTTGAAGGTCTCCCCACCCGTGGTAGGCTCAGAAGTCACATCTCCAGAGCCTCCCACTCCTCCCCCAAGGGAAGTCCATGGTTACAATGTAGATGATCTCGGTATGCCTCCTGGGTACGATGCGGAGGACTCTTGGCGCAGGCGTGAGAAAGTTCGAAAGGATTTCGGGACCATGAAAACGTTGACTTCTTTATCTGATAACAATCTACCTGGCTACCAGTGGGACTACACGGACATCCCTGCTGACCTAGTTCCTAGGACTCCCTTGTCAAAAGAACATTCAGGTAGCTATAGTGGTTCCCCGGACTGTGCAACGTTTGCTCCGGAAGTACCACAGAGGCCGTCAAGTTTTAGATCTTCACAGGGTTCTCTTGATGTGCCGGAGGTTCCTAAGAGGCCAAGGAATTATAGAGTATCAGAATCAGAGGACGGATACACAGACGTCCCGCATGTTCCTAAAAAGCCCATGGAATACACAAATCCTAAGGGTAAATCAGCCTCACGGTACTCCATGGACTCCCGCTTCTCTGAATTCTCAGATGCCACAGATCTTGATCCAGACATCTTTAAAGGGCGATTCCCACGCCCTCCAAGAGAGCCTTATCCAGAAAGTCTGGACCAACTTCCCGTGGGATCATACGCGCCAACACTTACAGCGCGGGGCTCGGAGCTGGGAAGTGTCACGGACGGAATGTACTCAGAGGACGATCTGGAGCAGGTTTATCTTGGGAATCGAATGGAGGTGTGCGATGATTCACCGGAGAATTCCTACCTGCACTCCGAGAATTGCTCAGAAGATGAAGATGATGATTACCATCGTGACAGATACGCCCGCGCGGCTACACCCGACCCAGAGTTCCACAAAGAATTACAAAGAGAGATCAAGGAGATGATGAACGAGCTAGAAGAGCTAAAGTTAGAATCTGAAATCTGACAGACTAAAAACTAATATTTGATTATCGTAGTTGATGAACCTCTGTCTTGGAAGTTTTAACAATGGAATCGAAAAGAAGTAGAGTAACTTATGAGAGAAAGGGGACCCAGTGTCTCTTGAGTTCAAAGTTCTCATCCTTATCCAGCTCTACTCATTTGGTATAAGCCACTTGTATTCTCTTAAAATCTGTGTTATGCAAACCCTTGTTTTATTTTGATCATTAAGACAATAATCCATTTTCCGGAAGCTCTTTGTTCCAACTTTTTTTGATAAAAGACATTGGAAACCTTTCATTTCTCTACAAAGCTAGTATTTACAGTATAAAGCTAAAGAAAATTGCATTGACATTTAGAAATTGAAGATTTTATTAGAGGTTAAGGTTTAAGAATCTGTTGACATAGACTTGCAAAGTTTGAAATATGTTGGATAACAATGTCGGTTTTAAAAGTTTTCTTGCGAAGAGACAGAATTTATAGTCCGCTTTACCTTGAGGCTGACAAGATTATTCAAATTTACATCAAATGATTAGAACTTTTATTTTGAATTTCATAGAAATGCTCTTTTGAAGGAGTTAAATTATATTTTGATAATTTTTTACAGTTTTTTTAATCGAAATTTTTAGATTTGCATATGTTTCGCCGGGCGATTTTTTTCGATCTTGTTTAAAATATTTAAAATCTTTTACTATACAAACGATTAGGCATGTTTCCGAGATTATAACTTGTAAAATGTTATTTATCAGATTGTAAGTAATCGAAGAGCAAACTAGGTAAGAAACACAATCTGTGAGTCTGCCACAAGATGTAATTTATTTTTATATGCTCTTCTTACTGACAGCTATTGACTTGGAGTCAAATTAGTATCTTTCATAAAGAAATTTTTACTCTTTTTAAGTCTTTAAGCTTTGTAATAAACTTTTCAAAATACTGGCTCGAGTTCGTTAGTGTTGGACTCTCCCTCCCTCCCCAATCCTTCACCTTGTCGAGAAAAGATGATGGAGCGCATTTCATTTACCAATAAGTGTCGTAAGACCAAACGAAGTAATAATGACCAATCGGACTGAAGGAAAATGTATCAAGCAGTCAATGAGAATTAAACGTAGAAACGAGCAAATTGCTCGAATTGCGGGAAAAACGCAAATGACCAGATCGCGATTGGTTTTGGTTTTGCATTTGATTGGTGGAGAGGCGCGAATCTATTAGACCAATCACAGACCACTGTGAAGGGAAACCAGTGCAATCCTGGATTTCATTTGACAGTCAATTGAAATGTTCTGGTTTCTAACAACAAAATAATTCGACGAAAAATGCGGGTAGGATGCTAATAAAGGAGGACTTTGAAAGGAGACAAAATATTCAAACAAGAGACAACTATAAGACTTATACCTTAACATAACAGAGGCTGTAGACAACGAAGCTTTCATCTCATCTTTTCTCTGATCACATGGCTAAGGTTGCTTGAAAGTCCCAGTCGTAAAAGGTTTTCTTATATCAAACTAGAACTGCAATTAAACCTGACCTGTTGCCATTCGTCAACTGTTACTGAGTTTAAGCTCCCATTCCACCGTCGCTTGTCCACCAGCCAAGGCGCCTTGTTTCTCTTTGACCCACTCATCCGTGGCATTTCTCAATTACTTCAGCTTATAATGTTATTCTCTTTAAATGTAATCAGTTGTAGGGAGATCCCTTGTTAAAACAACTTTCTAGAGCTCCGCAGAATGTAGCGAACGATATTAGATGAGATTGACCTGTTGTGATTACTGAGAGGAGACTGGTACTATATACCACAATTCCTTGCGCAGGGGGGGCTTGGAATGTTTCGATCTTGTCGTTCAACTCTGACGTTTTAAGTCTTGAAATTCTTCTCGATCGGGTGACCGCTTGAATATTCTAACGGCAAGATGGGTGATAAGCATTTTGGCTCACATTTGAAGACCAGCGAAAAGGTTTGTTGCGCCACCCAATTTGTTTTGATGCTAATAAGAATGTCATGAAAAGAGTGAAAAAGTTGCCAAAAATCTACGCATATATGTGTTGTGTTCGAGTCGTCGAAAATGATCGCTTTTTTCAAGTGTTTAATTTCGTTCTGGAAAGCATAATATTCTAAATCGCAGCATGTGAACAATGTGTCTCAGTTAGTACTGTTTTGCGTTGATTGATGTTAAAATTCCTTGACGGAATTAAAACTAACTCCTCCATGATCTCTAAATCGAATAAAGATCTAATGAGTTCATAAATTTTAAACAATTTTATTGTCCTTCATTCAAAACAAGAATTTGAGAATAACTCAAATGAATCGATCTCTATAATAAGCTATTTTTGCACATTGTATGTCTTTTCACAGATTTTAAATTGATTGCATTTATGATCGTGGCTTTATCTTGTTCATTACAATACACGGCCCAAATGAGACCTTATTTTTGTAGCAGGAAGTACAAGGTTAACATCACCTGTAATATATGTACCTGTAGAGGAACTACTAGGGATTAGAGTGTTTCATTTAGTTATTTATTCGCACTAAAAAAATACATGGGCAAGGCTACTCTATTCTATGACGTAACACCTCCCAAATCGTACCCTACATTACAAGATCCACAAACTGTACCTTTTCTTATTTTCTATTTTCATATGCAAAAAAATCCCTCTTAATGCCAGAGGGATTTTTTTGCATATGTACCTGTATATTCTTTGCATATACTATATGCTGAATAGATGACAGTTGGCAACTGGAATCATAACTCTGTATTCTTAATTAGTTGTTTCTTCTTGTGGCATGCATTTTCCTCAGGTGTTGAAATCAGTGGTGAAACTGTTTGTTCAGATTTCAACTCCAAACTATAGCATGCCCTGGCAGATGAAGCGGCAGCAGCAGGTTTTTGGATCAGGGTTTGTGATTTCTCGCAGGAGAATTCTCACCAATGGACATGTAGTAGCTTATCAGAAGTCAGTAAGTAAACAAATACATTAAATTACTTTTGTTCTGAAAATTTAAACTTCCAATGAAAGTAGGGAATGTCTTATCAGGAATGAGGCACTGCAGCAACTTTGTAGTCTGGTGGCTCTGACCTTCATGACCAATTCTGGTTGTCTGCTGAGTGGAAAGGAAGCATTTCGGGATTATTTTGTATCCCTGGTCTTCAGCATTCATGTTACAACAGCTTATTTAATTTTTAACAGTTAGCTTCCTTTATTTTTCAGGTGCGAGTTCGTAAGCATGGAGATGCTAAGAAATACAATGCTCATGTGATTCATGTTGGCCATGAGTGTGACATTGCCATGGTAACTATTTGAAACTACTTTTAGATCTTCCGATATAAACTATAGAACTTCAAGTAATGACATGGGACGTGTAAGTAGACATATCACAAGACATTAAAACTGTTTCATTGTAAACAGTCCATTCAATCTTTTATTTTCTTAAAGCTGGGTGTAACAGATGAAACCTTCTGGGAGGATCTGTGCCCCCTGGAATTTGGTGAGATACCTGCACTTGAAGAAGATGTGGTTTGTGTTGGTTTTCCAACTGGTGGAGATAATATTAGTGTCACGCGAGGAGTTGTCTCTAGAGTGGAAATTCAGCGTTATGCACACTCTGCAGTGGAACTTTTGGCTATACAGGTTAGAACTGTGTATATTAAGTGTTGATTATGTGATGGGGTATAAATGTGTTTGCCTCTCCATGATTTTTGAACTATTTAATAAGCCTTTAGTCCCAGTAATCTTGCTCAGTTCCTTCCAGAAGTTTGAAAATTGAAGAATTTAAGAATTCAACTTAATTATCTCAACGATCAGTCAGTGGGCCTCTCTATATGTGACCATCATTTAACCTTTAGACATTTCATAAGGCCCCCTAGACTTTATAGTATTAGAAAATTAATATTTGAATAAGATCTTCTTATTTCTGATGCAAGAGTTATCTAAGGTTGTTTGTTACTATGGACAGATTGATGCAGCAATAAACAGTGGTAACAGTGGTGGGCCTGCCCTTCAGGATGACAGAGTGATTGGAATTGCTTTTGAGACACTGGATAATGCTGAAAACATTGGATATATTATACCTGTAAGTCATTCATACTATCTAATTTACTCAAATTACTTTGTTCCTTGTGGTGAATAGAATGTGTAAAGAACATGTTGCATTTAAAACTCAATTTATGACAAATAACAACTTTTCAGGTAACAGTAATAAAACATTTCCTGGGAGATATTGAGAAAAGCAACACATACAATGGTTTCTGTCGACTGGGAATCAAATGGCAGCCAATTGAAAGTGAACACATGCGGAATTACTTTCAGCTGTCAGCAGAACAGACAGGGGTCCTTGTTACAAAAGTCCTTCCTTTGTTCAGCTGCAGCGGCGTGCTGAAACGAGGAGATGTCCTTATGGCAGTGAATGACGAAGTGATTGCAGACAATGGAACAGTGAGTAACTTGTCATAACTTATGAGATTCTTTTATTGAGATCCTGTAATAATCAACAATGTATTGCCCAAAACACAAGATAAGTGTATAGAAGAGAAAACCAGCACCATGTAGGCCTGTCGTGGAACACATTTGCCAGCCTCTTGACAGGATTTTAATATCTTGAGGGTTTATAGTTTATGGATATTATGAGGCCCAGAATCAATCCAAGTTGAAAGCAATTGTGGTTAAATTCAACCCTACATGGCCAATGCAAGCAATAACGGTTTATGCTTCTATTTATTAATTTTTATTTTCCTCTCTTAAAGCCAGCGGACCAAGGCTATAACATAGAAGGTTTATTTTGATTTGATCCTTCATACTCAAGATCTGATTATGAATTCTCCTTTTAATGTTCTACACAATTCCTTGTCAATTAGTTGGGAGAATTTGGTGGTACATTACTTATCACAATACTACCCACTATCTGCTTAATTCATTCATCCTCACCATCTGTTAGCTTAATACGACATTCATAATCTAAAGAGAAGTTATTGTAAATTCCTTGGGTGGGTTCTGCTGAGTCAGATATATCCATGTTTTCATGTGCTACCAGCATTAGGCCTTGTTATGACCTAAACATCAATTTTGAAATAACTGAAATAAAATCTCCACTGTTTGTTAGTTTTTATCTCACAGCAACACCTGGGTGTTTTTTATCAGTTGGGCTAATCACGTTTTTGTGTGGTGTTGTTTTTGTTTAGGTTCATTTTCGCGGTAATGAGCGCATTCTGTTTGACTACAAATTGTCACAGATGTTTATTGGTGATATCTGCAAACTGAAAATTCTAAGACAAGGCCAAGTGTTGAAGGTTGAAGTGACATTAGATCTCATCACATCACTTGTACCCACCCAGCTGTATGACAAAAGACCAAGGTAATAAATAGGAATTCCAGCTTTCCTTACAAGCTTAACTTATCTTTCTGTGTCAGGGTACATTGAAATCGCCCGGTGATAAGTTCACTGAACTCTGTATTTAGGCCTGGGTTTGAGCCCTGACTGAGACATTCTGTTGTGTTCTTGGTCAAGACACTTTCCTCTAACAGCGCCTCTCTCAAGCGGGAGTATAAATGAGTACTGGAGAACTGGTTTCGCTATTTAACTCTCACTATCATTTCTGCCTGTAGTTACCTCGTGTACGCTGGCCTCGTGTTTGTGTCTCTCTCCCAGCCCTACATGCAACATCAGTACGGAAAAGACTGGGCACGAAAGGCACCCATAAGGCTCTGTGATCGTGTTCTATACGGTATTTTGAATCAAACGGGACAAGAAGTCATTTTGCTCAGTCAGGTAAGTAAAGAGGTAACTTTATTTTACTGAAACAGGGAGGTCACTTGATTTTCACGCCTTTTTGGCTTGAAAGACGACGTCATGGGACCCAGAGCGTTTTTTTTAAGGGTCAGTTAGGACGCAGATCTCTAAATCCGTGAAGATCTCTATGTTTTGGTTTTGTATGAAACTGATGAAAGAAGGCGCTCCTTTTAAATGAGTATCGTAAATCCAGAATCAGAGAAATTACAACGGTGAATAAGAATAAGAAGAACGAGAATAGGGAGCCAGGTAGGACTCTAACTTTAATCAAGGAAACTGCCTGAGGCGCGGTAGAACTCAAGAGACCAATTTTTCGATTGGGTCGAGTTTTGCATCTTCTTGGTAAGGAGGGTGGCGCAACCTCGACAGTTTATTGAACATCAAATCAAAGTTTTAGAAATAGAATGGGAACTTCAAGCTCTAATTCAGTTAGATAATTCAATCCGAGCACAGAATTTATCGCACTCTGTCATTTGTTTTCTCCATATTTGAGTCCTCCCACCACTGAGCTACATGAAAAAAGTGCTTGCCCTCATACTGTTTATTTTATGATTATTTTCAGGTTCTCGCATCGGAGCTAACAACAGGCTACGAGACAATGGCAAATTTGCAGCTTTTTAAAGTTAACGGGAGACCAATTTTGAATCTAAAGCATCTTGCATCCGTTCTTGATGAAATCACTATACCTTTCGGCAAACCAGAAGACTCACAAGCGAAAGGTGGAACAACGGCCAGAACTGTGACATCAGAAAGTTTTGTGGAGGACAACATTAGCACAAAACAAGGCGAATTAACTGCTAAGAGTTGTGAAGTACACAAACGCCAAGATGACAACATAATCCCTTTAAAAGAAGTCACAACTATAGATGATACGGATGGTCGATCATGCGCCAAGCTTAAAACACTAGAGGACGTAAAGAAAGATTGGGAGAGGGGAAATAACGTGTGTGAAAGTGACAGCCACCATTTGTCACATTACCGGAAAACATCCAATGAATGCAGAAAACAAGATTTCACTCAGACTGATTCACGTTCTTCAGACTTGTATTTATCGACGACACAAACGACCGATATGAATTCTGGTGTGGGTGACGATCCTACTCTTCTAAACAGAGAAGATTTCGTGCATTTTGAGCTCGATAAGGAGAAAATAATTGTGTTACATATTCCAACTGCTTATAACGCTGCACCAGAAATACTACAACAATACGCAATAGGTCAGCCTCGATCCAATGACTTACCTTCACCTCCCTAATGTCACATGTTGAACACGTGAATATGAAAGGTCACGAACTCTACTACACTACAGCCTCTTCCGCGATGTAAAGCACTTACAGAATTCAGCCCCTCCAATAAAATGTAACCTAATCTTGGTTACCCGACTAGAGTGTTTGTCTGGTACTATAAAAGGAAAGTCGAAAATCTTTCTTAAGTCGTAACTGATTTTGAAGCCTTGAAAACTTTCTAGAATTTAATTTTTTAGAAGAACGGCTAATGGTACCTGAGTTAAAAAATAAGTGTGGTGAGTGCAGTGGTTGATCATTGGCCAGTTACATCGTCAAATTGATATAGATGTAAGAACTTGAAGGAGGAGCAAGCTTTGTGCGGCAAAACATCTCAAAATTTCAAGACATAGAGACAAAAAAATCCGTTGTAACATTTTGTGTCGTCTTCTTTGGAAAGTTTGAAACAAACATCGGTTTACACACAACTTATTACTGAGTACGGAGCTGGTTCTCCAATTTAAATATAAAACAAGAGCAACATTACTCCCGAACTTTGGCGGTCATGCCTTAGAGGGCAAGACTCATTTTAATAATTACTCCTTACTTTGCCGTAGAGAACGGAGAAGGAAAACTTTTTATAAAAGAAAATGCAACGTAACGCAAGTGACGGTTTAAATCTCTACTACGTAATTGGAGGGAAATTGGTGAGAGCGGAATGTATCAATGTAACAAGATAAAAAAAAAGTTGGTGTTAATATGTACAACTATGAATAAGATGTTTATTTTATGCCTTAAAATTGTTCAGTAGAGCGTTTTACCAATAACACCCTGCTTTGTACACTTGGTATGAACTTGGTGATAGTGAGAGTAAGTGACTTTCATCTTTTTATCTATAATCAGTTCCACTGGTGTTTTTTTATCACCCGGTGTGATAGGTGAAGTTGAGTGAAATAATGGGCTCCGTTTGATCAAAGAGACCTGAAGAACATTTGCTAATTGTATTTGTACATCGACGCCCAGAGTTTGGATTGAAAATTGGCTGTTTTACTTTGAATCAGTGAAGAGACTTTCCAGCGAAGCTCATCCTGCATGTAGTTTTCGTGCAATCATTTGAAGAGTAGACTAATTCACTTAGAAAGAAGACAAACTGTTCAAGTTCACTGTCCGAAATGGCGCGAGACATAATATCCGAGTTTGTCTTCATAGCTGAGTCAAAACATGTCGCTTGCCAAATAGTGGTGATATATTTCTCGTGGCGTGAGGCTGAAACTCACCATACTCTCGTTCCTGGCTTCGTAGACTCCCGCGAAAAGCCGGGAACGACAGAAATCACTGACCCTAGAACGCAATATCTGGTTTTAAATGAAGAACCATCCTTGTGCCTCGGATCACGCGGCAAGGGCGTCATACTCACCGTGGATGAAGTTGCAGGTCGGTACGCATGCGCTCCGTCTGAGAAGAGGGGGATGAAAAATCATTTTCGGTTCGAGTCTTTCCATGAGATGAGAGTTTAAAGCTAGCGGCTAAAGTCAATCATTCATCAAAAGAAAAACTGTACGTGAAGCAAAAAGGAGAGACAACCAAATGAGGAATGTAGATTCTAATTCAGCAACATACCATGTTAATCAACCTTGTTAGAGGAAGTTAAACCCCACTGATGCTGTAGTAAAAGGAATGATATACCTTGTGCTTTTTGTCCCTTGATAGTTAAGGGATTCTTTTCTTCGCCTCTTCTACTTCAAGTTTGACACAAATAAAGTTACTTACTTCCTTACTGCCAGCCTAATTTTACCACGAGAGAGTGAATATAAATATCTTAGTTACGCACAACGATAATTGTGTGGTTGTTCTATGAACGTACGTATGAAACTTTAAAAGCTAACCTATTTTCTAATCATTGAGACGGTAAAATTTTCCTGTAATACTCTAAAACAAAATAAATAGGCTTCCGTCCCACTTAAAAACTGAACTGGACGAAAATAAGCTTACGATAAGGTTCAGTAACATTCCTGCGCGGAAGGTAACCTCCCTAGACCTTTTGAAACTTTTGTATAAATATAACTAAAGCAATTGTTCATCATTTTATACAATATATTTACTTCTCGGAGCACCCAATGTCTTGTACAGTATCGAACACTTGGCTCTTTACTTCTCTCTCCTCATGTATTTGTTTTCAAAAGGCGTGTTTGGTTGTGTTTCTTCTTACCTCTCCATTTAGATTCACGACCTAACGTGGAGTTTAAACTTGTTTCTTATTTCTCCCCACCCCTGCCATAAATCACGTTCTAATTGCATGTTTAGACGTATAGTTTGTAGGTAATGGTTTCAGACGGTTGGATCTTGGGGAGGAGAAATTTCTCTCCATACCACCCTCCACCGGTGACCTTTCCACAACCACTTCCACTTTTCCGTTGTCAGCGGTATTCTTTTCAAGTCTTTTTCCACTGGCGGTCATGTGAACTTCAGTGGAGTTAGGTGATGAAGTATGTTCACTTTCAGCCCCGCGGCTTCTGTATGACGAAAAAGATTCTGCCAGCTTGTTACCAGGCCCTTTGCGCATACCTGCCTTAGCAAGAATGTTGGTCACGTGATACTTTTCCTGTGAAAAATTGAGTAGATAATTTAGTCATCATACAAAATGATTGTCAACGTAGAACTTTTTTCACAAAGCACACCGAAGAAGCGAAGTAGAAGTTAGAGGCAATGAAGTAACTATGTTGCGGTTTTCACCCCCAGAAAATTTAACCCGATTTTTCAAATTCACAAATTTCACTAATGCAAGTATTATTTCTTCTTTTCCATTCCTAAGCATCATTATTTGTGGGTTGTTCTCATCTGATTGGTGCCCATCTCCTTTAAAAACTCATATCTTGAGGGTTTCATACTATTTTCATACAAATCAAAACTTTGAGACATTGCACCCTTAACTATGTCACTATAAAGCTATTACCTTTGACAGAGCCATCTTAACATCGGCAGGTACGTCGGGTATAATGTAGGCAATCAGGAACTTAATTGTAAACACTATATGCTGAAAAGAGAATTAAATTATTCAAGTGAGAATTTTCAACACAGCTAAGCCTTGTAGTTTAAGCGTATCAGTACCTTGCTCCAATTAGCTCCGGTACCAAAAAAAGGAGAGAGATGATGATCGTACCTCAAATCCAATTATAAGCCAAAGCCTGCTTAGTCCTGTAACATGTTCAGTGACGATGATAACCTGTTCGGTTGTGTTTGTTGTGCTGTTGAATATGGTTTCAGTTGCGTTGGTCTTGGACGGCTCGCCTTCCCATGATCGACCGTACGATGACGTAAATGCCACCAAGAACGAGTTGGTAACCACGCCAGCCACGTTCAGAAATTCTAGAATGCTGTACCACGTGCCTTGTGAAGAGACAAAAGGAAATGTTGCAGAGAATTCACAGGTCCTAAAATAAGCGATTTGTTTTGTTGTAATTTCAGAACAAATCTCAGATGAGCTATAAGCTGAAACCAATACTCGTAACCGGTGTAAAGCACACGGAAACTATCAGTACGAACTAGTCTTGGCACGGAAAAAAAAACGAAAAAACAAGCCAAAGAATGTGTAACTAGTGGAGAGCACAGGAAACGGAAAGGTATAAAACCAGTCAGGAAGATTGCTACTATACTAACCTATGTCTTCTGCCCTGAAAGCTACTGGCCGCCTGTTCGTCCATAGCAACCTCCTGGCGTCCACTTTCATGTCGATGGCATTGGTCAACAGTGCAATCAGTGGGGCCAGCGGAAACGCTGCTGCAAAAAGCTGAAAGGATGACGCAGTTGAAATTAATATCTACACAAACAAAAAATTTAAAAACTTTAGCTGATATTTCACAAAGGAGTCTTGATTCTTACCATGAGGAATCCGTACTGTAGCACTGTGAAGATAAAAGCAACGATAATTACCGTGAGAAAACTGAATTCGACAGATAGAATAAGGTGGTTCAACAGGATAAATGTTGATATTTGTTACTTTAAAACTATTCAGTGAGTACGTATAGGAAATGTGCCATGGTTTCTTAGTGAATATGAAACCAACTCACTTGCAAATAATTCTATGGCAGTACATAAGACAACAGAGTTCTAGACTGGACGTACCTTTCTCGTTGTATTCAGACAGTGTAAAATCTCCAAGTTCAGCTTTATTTCTCTCCCTCTCCAAGTAATCTTCTACACTGACTGTGATTTCACCGCTTACTGAAACTCTGTTGCTACAGCATTTTCTCTTCCAAAGGCTCACCAACCAACTACAGAGGCAAAGTTAGCAGGTTACCAGCAGTTTGACATTGAGGACGTCGAAAGTATTCTGGGATTACACGAGTTTTATTTTATCTCGCTCTACGGTTTGGTCTCTAAAATTTCACTAAATTAATCAGATGCAAAATTAAAACCAATCGCGACTTGGTCACTCGCGTTTTCATCGACTTCTCAACAACAAAGATGTTCAGTATAGATACAAATTTTAGCAATGATCATACTCACGGTTTAATGACATCACTGAAGAGTTTGGGAAGAGGTTTCATGATCATTAACATGGCGACTTGTAGCGATAAAAGACTCATACAGTCGTTGTTTTCTCCGCACTCGTCACTGTAGTTTTCCCCTTTACCAATCACGCCACTTTCCTTGGTACCCTGGGTAAACAATTGATGACATAAGAAAGATTAAGTGTGGCCCTTTACGATAGTAAAGGAACGAATAATGACATGCGGTGTTTAAGTTCCATTCAAAGCTGTACCTGACGAAAGAAAGCTATGTAGAACAACGATGTGTATGAATTCACGAACTGAAATCCAAACAACTTTAAGATAAGCGCATCTTCATATGAAGTCTGAGTCCGGTGATTTTCTATAAAGAAAAGAAACAGAGAAGTTTTATTTACAGAATCACAAAGTTACGGTCGAATTTGAAGAATTCATTCGTATTAACTGAAATCAGACTCACCCCAGTCCGTAAGGTAGACTGCTAACTTCTGATAAATCTGAAATAAACACGAAGAAGATTTTGCTATTACCACTCACCCTTACCATGCAACACGTGCACTCAGCTACAAAACTGTAAGAAATTACACAGATAATTTATCTGTAATATACAAACCTTGCCCATGATCATGATAGAAACAGTATTGAGGAATGTTGAGGTAACGCTTGCTATCAGCTGGCCTGCTTCTCCTCTGCTTTGGAACAAATCTACTCTGGCAATGACCCGATAAATAATCACAGCGACGACACTTGCCAACACCAAACAAATCTGAAAAGGGAATCAAACAAAGCTCTCGCGTTAACAGATGAACAAGAAGATTATTGATGTCTAAACTTTCATAATTGCTATTAGGTCTTTGTGGTGTAGTTGCTGGGTGAAATTACTTTTGAAACACACTGTTAAAAGTCACTCAGATCATTCACAGGATATGGGGCGAAAAATGTCCAAGTACTTCAAGTGTAATGAACATCCACTCAAAATTAAAGACGAAGAAAACATAAACGAACCATAAAGAGCATGACCCCAAATGAGCCCATCATCTTGAAAAATCTTCTTAAAGCTGGATAAACTGAGATATCTTCTCCTGTTACTGGGTCCTGAAAAAAAAGCAACAACAACACATACAAATTTGCCATTAAAGAAGAGTTCATGACGTAATAATTTCATGGTGCAATAATTTCCCAACGAAGATGTGCGAAAATCTTACCTTCTTGATGACAGTTCCATAATACTGTGGGCGATTTGGCTCCTGAAAACATTACATAATGACGGTGTTAGAAGATGTTCACAGTGGAAAGGAAGAGCAAAACTTGTTCCATATACAGGGTACCTGTTCTTCGAACGTATCAACATCCCATTGGTATGATAGTCTAGCATTTGTTCGTTTCCATCGCTCCAAAAAGAATGTACCTGCCAAAAAGAAACATGCCTATGAACACAGAACTGATACGACAATTTACAGACAAAAACAAAGTAACAAACAAAGTGTCAGGTTTTAGGGTGCCGGATTGAAATTTGGTCATCAAAACTTCCAATCTGACACCCAGTTTGATTTATTTCTTGATGGCTGCGGACTCAACTTCGACCCCTTTAATGCTCTATAAAAAGAAATCAGGTTTGCGTTGCGTTTATAGCTGTACGAGATTTATTTACTTACCTGTGATATGTCCAGCTGGCACCTACATGTAGATGCTCAAAACATTGACACTTAAATAAACCAAGTCTACCTTACAATTATGTTTTCAAAATGAAACTTACCCCACAAGCATATTATTAACGCAAAGAAGGGTGTAGCATCATTGTCAAATGCATTCTTTGCCCAAGCTGTTAAGGTGGAGGTAGATGTTGTATTCTCATCCTTCTCACCTAAAGGATTATCTCTTACTCTATAACAAAGAGATGAAGAAACATGTAGATCATTTTCTGATTAAACTAATTTACACAATTTGTTACCCAGCATGTCCTCCTGACCAAAGCCAAGTAAGTTTAAAAATAGTTTTTCATACAGGATAAACGGAGAGAAGGGTTGCCACATTTGAATAAACACCATTTAAAATTAACAAAATAGACTTAAGAGGGAAGACCAATAGAGGGAATTTCTGACTTCAGCAAATTTGCTTGGAAATTATCCAAAAAGCCATTGAGAATGTCATAAATATCTCAAGATCAATCAGTGTAAAAAACTTTGTTTACATCAATATGAGCGAAGAAAAGCACTAATAGCCAATGCTGTTTGAAGTCTCAAAACTGTAAGAGACTTAGGCATTTAGTGATTGGAGAATTTCCTCAAATGGTTGATTAATAATGAACAGTGAATGGTTTGAACTTTGGAGCAATTGTTAACATTATTAGAGCAATGGTTAACAGTATTAGGAGAGGTTAGGGGGTTGAGACTATGAATGAATTCCTTTGAAGTTGTTGAAAAGTCTGCCACTAGCACAGATAAGAGTACTTATTAAGGACTTTTTGACAATTATAACATGTAAAGAATGAAAGATATACTATGTAAGGAGTATGAGGCAGTGACAATACATGAACAAACATTTGTAAAAGTTCAATTAAGAACTTAAACTTTAGTGTAACAATTGACAAAGACAATTGAGAAAGGATTTTCTGAGATCAAGTCAACTCTTTAAAACAAAAGAAAAGAATAAGTTAACTTGAGGTGAGAAGAATAACATGGTAAAAGAAAATGTCAATCCACTACAAAGAAAGAAACAGGTGACCCCAGTAAACAACTCACCTACCAAATTCTGTTATATGTACATCTCTAAAGAGTTGAAGAGTGCTAGTTGAGGGAAAGAAGAAGAGAGGTCTACCCAGCTCAAGTTTGACCATGAGTAAGTCAAAGACTCTTAAACAAAGCCATGCACCCACAGTAAGGAAGAGATCAACAGATTGCAAGGCAAAGAAAGCAGTATATTTTGGGTAAAACAGGGGAGACCATGTGCCATGAAGACAATATGTCAAAGGTAAACAGCTATCAGAAATAATTTTGTTCCTGCGAGGGAAAGAAGATTTGGAAAGAACCTTCACAACTGGTCAAATTTTGTAACCATAATTTATAAGGATCATCAATCAGGTGGGACAAATGAAGATATTTTTCATATGTTAGTCATTCATGTACCTAGAATATTGGAACACAAAGAGAGAACAATTAGGATTACATCTCACTCTCAAGGAATCAAGGTTGCAGATAAATGTACAATCCATACATGCAGTACAGTTCAGTGATTACATGGACATGACGTGTCTTTAGAAATAACGGAATTATAAAACATACATGTTAAGTAAGCATGCTGCACAAGGTTAGAAGTCCACAAAATAAAATTGAAATAAAAGTCATCGCTGAAAACTGCCTCCTTAAGCAAGAATTGTGGGTGTGTTTTACACTGTATATTCCCTACAAAGTAGTTTATTCATGGCGGAAATAAACACATGTTTGGTTTACAGCTTACTACAAGGACACAGAAGGAATTGTTGTATTAACACAACTTTTTGCAATCTCATTATGGCAAAGTGTGCATTAGTACCATTTGATACTTGTTATATCATCCCTTATGGTGCTTGGATAAAACACAAGAACCTAACATATGAAACTGTTTTTATTAATGATCAACTTGGAAAATTACTTACGCAACACTAAGTCCCCAAAGAAAAATGGCCAACCCCAGTAGCATGGGTATGACAAGTGACATGGTAAGCAAACCTGAAATGTAAAAAAAAATTAAAAGATAAGACAAAATTATTAATGTATTTATAATCAGGTTATTCACTTTGCCATTAAATTTAAGGGTTCTGCAAAATTCACCCAAAACTTTTCTACAGATCACTCACCAAGCCAGCCAAAATAGAGGGCGATTTTTTCACCAAAATAATTCCTTATTTTCCAGAGAGGCTGATATCTGAAATGCTTGAGCCATGTGTCATGCAGGGCTTTGCGAGGATCAGCAATATCCTGACCATGTGGAAAACTATGATCATCACCAGCATCGGCCAGTGGAAACTCAGAATCATATTCAGACTTTTCATGTAGAATGAATGCATCAGTGTATGCTTCTTCCATGAGCATGTACCCAAGACCTAAAAACAGACCATGAACCATAAGCACAGACACAGTGCACAGTCCATATGCACAGTGCATATATCTGAGGCAAATAGAACAGTTTTCCCTAAAGCAATTACATCCTCATCTTCCTTTTTGTAACATCTAGAACACTTGTCACTAATGATTTCAATTTGAGCAACCATTGAATGATTTTAGATGTGAAATGAACACAGCAAAAAATATCAAATGCAATGTAACCAGCTTGATAACCTAATAACAGTTTGATTGCCCATTGATAGATTGTTTCTTATGCTTGAGGGGCCATCATAAACACAGCATAAAGAATAACAACAATCAAGAGGATCATCAATCAGATTTCAGCTTATAAAATTTTCACTGGATCTTCTAATAAATGTGAGAACAAAATATAAAGGTTGACCTTGTGCATTCTGACCAAGCTGTTTGCTTTCTTTGTCTCTGACATCTAAATCTGTTAAAATATGGTGAACCTATACAATTGAATAAATTTATAAAATTAATTGAAACATTACTTGAAATTTAATGTCACTCTACAAAGTTTGCATTGATGATTTCTACCCACCAAAAGTGATCTAAGAGCTGGTCTGAAGAATGTGTCTGGATTTTCTACTCCCTCATAAATTTGAGATTTTGAAACACAGAATGGTGCACTGACAAAATCAACTGCAAGAAAGACACAAGTATCATTTTAATCACAATGTAAGTGGAAGCAAACTGATCTTCAATTTAATCTCTCAATTTAAAGTATTTTTCAGATGCAGAAAAAATTCATAATATCACCAGGCATCCTTAATTTTAAATAATCAGTTACAAAAATACCTTCATCATCAGTTTTAAAATTATCCCAAAATTGTTTCCATAAACTGTTTCTTGATGTCTCTGGAACAACATACTGCAAACAAGAGATAAAAATTTAATAACTTGCAGCATCCTTAATTTTGAATAATAATCAAGACTACAGAATGATGCTTTGCTATTTCAGTTTTGTGTGTCTTCCTCTACCTGATATCTAATTATCTTAGCCGCCTTCATTACAAGTGATAACTTCCCCTTCTCTTATCATAAAATCAGCTGAAGGCTAACGTTTTTCCAAACAATGCATACTGATTAAGCATGGCTGTTTAATAGAGATGGACTGGCTTACCCCAGCAAGAGGCATTTCCAAAGAGACATGTTCCGCTTCTTCACATAGTCTCTCAAATGAACAATGCAATATCACAAATGTCTTGTTTGAAGTGTATTTTCGTTCCACCCTGAACCCCTGTAGATGAAGTTCAGCCTCGAATTTCTTCCTCAGTTTCTCGTGCAGATTTCGATTATCACCTGTTCTATGAACTAAGACATAATCGTGATGTAGATATTTGCTGTTTTTCCCCTCCTCTGATTTACTCATCGCTAGATGCAAAGCAAGTTTCCTCAAATCTTTTTCATCCCGGTTGATTTCTGCTCGTGATATGGGATGGGGGCTATTTAGTTCTTCGTGGATTTGAATCAATTGTTCTCGACTTGCCACTGGTTCAAGCGCCAATTGAACGCGCTTCGGTTGTTCTCCGTTACTATTACTTGAAACCTGTCGCAAAATTCCACTATTTTGCCTCTCTGAAAATGGCAAATGATCATTAGAGTTTGAATTTTTTGCCTTTTTCTTTTTCTTCTTCTCCCGAACCTTTGGAACAGTTCCATCACCCTCTAATATCCTGTCCTTGTCGTTCCCATCCAACTCAGCCATGTCCTTTCAATTGCCACACAAAGTACCATATACTTGGGTTATAATTTCTTCACGGAAAAAAGAACTTCCGTAGTGATGGTGATACTGATCTTTGGCTAGAATGAAATGGTCCTCAATGAGCAAAATACTGTGATTTTCTGTTTACTCGCTGTCTGTTGCCAACCCTAAACCACACCGCAAATCTGATCAGTCTGAGAATTACCAATTTTGTGATCTTTAATAAAGAATCAAGATCTGTTCAAAAAGCTCTGTACAGAAGTAGAACAGTTTTGTGAGTTCTATCCAAGGTGCGTAAGTTGTTCTCTAGTGGCAATAATCACAACACTCAGTGCTCTCGATGTACTGCAGTTGTTCTTGAGTCAGTTGTTTCAATGGACTGAGTAAAGGAACCCTCCTCTACGGTAAAACACAATCAACCCCTTCTTACAGTAAACCACTTCTTGTTATCAAATATCTTCATTTTCATTCTCCAGTGAAATAACCAACACAGTCTAGATCAGTTGCAGCGAGCTCATTTACAAGAATTAGAAGATCCTTTCAGAGAAATTGTGTTTTAATGTCGTGGTTGCTTAGTGGGTGGCACAGCAACGTCACCTAAGCGACGGAATATCAAGTCAAAACATCAAGCAACATTGAGCCCTTCAGTGCCCACAAGGTAAATATTTCCAAGATTGCAAATTCTCCTCTGCTGCAAACGTATAGTACTGAAAATTGACCAAAGTGTACAGAACAAGATGTATCCGACCAATCCTCGGAAAAAAACAAACAACTTCGGGAAAATTCGGAGTATAGATGCGTGTTACATGATGACTAGCTTTGTTTTAGGAATCCGCTGACCATCAATTTAAAAATGGCGTGTAAAAAGAGTCCAGGTTCAAGGACTGAAATTCAGGAAGCAATTAAAGAACAAGGAGAACAAATAAGAAAATTAAAACTTGAAGAACAGACAGATGAAGTTAAAAACAAGGTAAATGTATGACTAACTCGTCTTCTTCTAAATGAAAGAACAAAGATTCCTTGGGTATCATGAATCAAAGAGAATACACGTGGTTACGTGCTAAAATGTGGAAGAAATTTTTTTGTGCACACAGTATACTGATCAATTTGACAATGGAAAAGTAGTTAATTGTCCTCTTCTGTGTAAATATGAAAAATCTCTTCTTTCTCGATATTATTTGACCTGTGGATATTCTTCATAAGTTTTGATGCAATAAGTTGCATTGCACAGCTGTGACCCTCCATAGGGTTTCAGGGAATCAAGTGAACGCACGCACAAGGCAAGTTAATTAACACGCTCACACGCTAATGGCATGATACACTTACCGTGTGTTTATGCGCATAAAAACAATTGAGTTTGGAAAGCTTGTTCGTAGCCATTGTTCATATTTGGCTAACGCGGTAGAGCTTTGTTTCTACAACACGCTTCATGTTTTTGTTTTGTTTTTAACACGCTAAGTTCCTTTGTTTCCGTAACACTCTAGCTTATCTTGTACAATCCAGCTTGCTTTGTGACTTGTGTTTTTCAGCTTCTTAATTGTGAGAATGGTGTTTGTAAAGTATATTACTTACAGAATATAAGCGAAAATGTTGAAGATCTTCCGTCCTATTCGAAAGTTGTAATAGAAAAGGAAACATTCACGGCAAATCACAGCTCTTTCCCTCAGGAATTTCACAAGGAACTCAGTGAGCATGACGTGTTTCTCAAGGTCCAGAGGAGCGTAGTTTGAACACATGAATAATTTTTTTAAAACTTAATTCTTGTCTTGTAAAATATAAATCCTTATTGCTTCACACAGTTGATAAGCCCAGAACTGAATCTTGGTGAACCCTTTAGCAACACATTTCCGGCTCCATGTCTCCTAATTGGCATGGTTGCTGTTCATCACTCTATGCAAATCAGCATTTTTAAAATAAATGACTGCTAGTTAGCCGGCGTAGAACAAAACTCTCTGAGCAAAGCTGGGTATTATTTACTGTATGCCAATCTTTGCATCTTATGAGCTCTTAGCCTTTAGCACTGCAATATATACCTTGCATGATGCAACTGTGAAATGAAGATAATTAAAATTAACATAGTTGAAGATAACATATAGATTTAGCCAAGCCTAAAAGCAGGGCTCGCATTTTTTTTTCCGGGTTGTCCAACTCGGAGCCCAGTGCACTGACCACTGGACTACTGGACAAAGCCATGGCATTGGTGTGCCCACGGTACATTTGACCACTCATTTTAAAAGTAGTACCTTGTATGGTTATATGATTGTATGGTTGTACAACCAAATTTTTTCGACTTAATGGGTTACTACTATTTTGTATAATTACGGGGCTACGCTCTGCAAGCTCTGCTATTAACAAGTTATTTAGTTTGCAAACTTTAAGTTTCAAACTCCTCTGGACCCTGTGGGTGCATTCACTTGCTTTTGGTTTCCATAGTTATGCCATTTACACTACAAAACGTTTGCACGTGCAAAGGAACTAGCAAACACTTCATAGCCATTCATTTTCAAGTTTCAAAATGCAATCACAAAGTCATGAATTCTCAGACTTTCTAACTCGGAGACTAGAAGAACATGGTAAGACATGGTAAGAATGCAGCTTACCCTCAATGAAGTAGCCATTTGCTTTGCATTATACCAGGTTCACTCTAATTTATTATTCTAAAAAGCTTGTGCTTGCCACTTTCAAAAGTTCATGCATGATTTCAAGAGTAGAGGACGTTGCTCGTTCGGCTCGTGTTTTGCAAGTTGTTTTAAGAAAACAAGGAATTTGAAAATGAAGGGAAGAACTCAAAGACAGTTTTAAATGATGGACAACAAGTGATAAATGATGGACAACAAGTCAAGATATTCCTTTATGTTTTGCAATTTAGGGACCAAAGTTGCTCTGGATATTGAGTATCAAATCGGTCAGGAGCCTACAACATGCTTCCTGCACTAGTCAATAGCAACTTAAGCCTTAAAAGGGCTTGTTATAAAATTGGCATGGTCACTGTGTTATGTTGTGCAAAGGTGGAAGCAAGATCTTAACACATTCTTTTGTTTCTACCGTACGAAGCAAGACAATGGTTTTGAAGTTAATGAGGCAAGTAACTAACACGCAGCTAATGTGTTAAAAGCTAGTTCTTTTGTTTTAGTGTGCGAGCATGCTGTGTGCGTGTGTTCACTTTATTTCCTGAAATCCTGTGGAGGGTCACAATTATGACATATAAAATACTATACACTTGTCAAATAGCATCTAAATCTGAAGGGTGTTTCAGGGCTTTCTTTTCATATATATGTATTAGGGTTCCCATATAAGAGAAAATAAATGAAAAATCCCATGTGCCCCATGGGAAGGTACATGTGTTAGAGGGTACTGATACTTTATGTATCCAGATGCTGGTGCCCAGGTTCCACCTTTGTTATAACATGTTATAATATGCTAATTAGTTGAAATCTTGCATATGCATGCTGATATTATTTGACTTTTTAAGTGTGATGTCATTTATGAGAAACTGGAGTGTGATTTATTATGACTGAAAATCTAGTTGTTTCAGTAAGCCCTTGAGTAGTAAAGTTTATCCTTTAGTCTTTCCTTTAATGTAATATTACACCATCCAATGAGAACTCTTGACACTAGTGTTAAACAAGATATTAGGAGCTATATTATGTATTATTCTTTGTCTCACAGGGAGTTATTCATTCTTTCATAATAAATGTATATGTGAACCCCAGAGCAAAATATTTTGTACATTCTCAGAGCTCCCAACTTAAAGTGCAGCATTATTAGCAGCTTTGTTTTTTGCTGGTTTTCCCATCTAATAATTGTGGTACACTCTTGCTGGTGTGCATAACTGGAATTTCTTTTTGAAGGCCTTGGTAAATCTCTATATTGTAAGATATTTTAAGAAGTACACAAAAATGGGGCAATGGATTAAACAGGAAGTGGACAAGATGATATTATCTTCAAGGGAGGTCTTGCCAAACATGTTAAGCTATAAGAATGTTGGTGACACTTGGTTTCTGTTTCCAGACATTGTGATGATGTCCTTTAAATTGTTGAAGAACATTCTTATTGTACCTAAATTGTTGCGAGGTTCCTCCTTTTCCTGTTCTTACTGTCTAGACAGCAAGGTCAGTGACAGTTTGATACTCTATACAAACCCAGTTTCAAGACTTTGTCTCTGGCAAAAGTATTTCAGTCACTCAAGAATTTTTAGCTTTCTACAAATATTAGATCTGTAAGGTATATGTTCATGATTCTATGCCTGTATGTTTTTATTTAACAGTAACAGAATGATACAAGTGGTTTATAGTTGACATTTTAAATCAGGCTTCTGGTTTTTATGGAGAATGATGTAATAATAATAATAACTTTATTTAACCCGATTTAAGACCTGTCAATCAATCAATAGTGATTGACTGATATCAGTCGGTGGCCAGTAAAAAATACACAAAAGTTGATAAAAATTAAAAAGCATGCAGTTTACAATTGAATAACAAAATCTATCTAAGAATTATTAAATGAAATCTCCATTTAACTTGTACAAATGTCATTATAATATGGAGGTAACCGCCTTGTGTATTTTCCAAGCCAGTTTAAGCTTCCAGATATTGATGTAAGTGCTATTCCCTTTTCTTTTTGGAAACAGATTAAGGAAGAAACAGCTAAATTAGTGGAACTCAAGAAGAAGATTGATAATGAGCAAGGAAGTCAGAAATTTGTTCTCAAGACACCAAAGGTATATTGCAGTTGAAAAGCATGAAAAAATTCTGAGAATAAAAAAATGGGCGAGGTGCTTTCTTACATTAGTGCTCTTTGAGCAAAACATCAGATTATTGTCTTTTTTTGCTTAAAAGACTGCTTATACTTGTTGAGTCTTTTCCCCAGACAACCAAGACATTGTCAACTGTTCTCATATAGTGGACATGTGTGACTGTTAATGTCTGGGAGAGTAATGATGAAAGTTGTACTGCAGGGTTTTGTGGTGTTTGTTAACCTGTGATCAACTCTGAATCAGACTTTCAAACATCACTATTGCTTTTCATCACTATTGCTATTCTTTTCTCTGACAGCTTTACTCTTTTTTAAGTGTTAATTACTAGCTCAAGTTGTTGTTTTCTATTGTCAGCTGTGTAAATGGTCTCTGTAATTTTAGGGAACTCGTGACTATACACCAACGCAAATGGCTGTTAGAGCTGAAGCATTTAAAGCAATTGTTGGCTGTTTTGAAAGACATGGAGCTGAACAGATTGATACACCAGTCTTTGAAATGAAGGTATCATAATAATCTTCTCACAAAGTAGAATAATGATATATTTTTAAGTGGTGAGAGCCAGACTATCCTTACATAATTTGTTAAACCTTCACCTACTGTGTTACTTTTCCAGGTAAAACATCAAGCTACATTGCACAATTGATTACTTATAGTCATGAGATAATGATAATTTAATGCATATATTAGATACTTCATCTAGTACTTGATGAACAGTAAAAACTACACCAGTTGGACTACAAACTAATGTGTACTGTGAAAATTGGTTACTTCTCCTTCAACTTTTACAATATTAGTGAACTAATTCTGGTGTGGTGATATGCAGTATGAGCTAGGAAATTGTCCAACATGCACATGAGCTGCATTATTTTACACCTTCAGCAGCATGTGACGCATTGCGACTATGTTGACACTAGGCTTAGATAATTATGTGCAATCCTTCTCCTTGGTGGGGATAAAAACATCTGTTGATCATAATGGTCTTGTGTATTTTTGCTGGATATTTTGTGGGTAGCTTGTGAGTATGTTCCCACACCAAATTTGTAAATATCTGGTGCACCATAGGACCAACACTAAGCCTGGTGTGACTGGGGGACAAACTCCTTCGCCAGCCCAGATCCAGTTTATCTGGTTTGGTTTCAAGTTTTTCACATTTTAATTGAGATATGTATGGTCTTGCCAGCCTAAAAGCTCTTAAACTGGGTTCTGTAAACTTATGTTTGTTATTGTATTTTCTATTGCGTGGGAGCAGTATTTTTCAACATTAAATAATTTGGTACTGGGAGTAGCAGTCCACAATGTCCTTTAATGAATGGAGAAAGGTTATTTTTAGACAAGGTAATGGCAAAGTGAAGTCATTATTAGAGTCTGATGATGACTTTCCTAGTTGTCAACATGTCAGTTACTATTGATTCTTGCATAAATATGTTTTCAGGAGTAACTATCATCATATAAAGGATCACATTACATTGTGAAGTGATTTTACTTGTAGAATTAAATAGATTCTGTCTTCCTTATAGGAAACCTTAACAGGGAAATATGGTGAGGACTCCAAGCTAATTTATGATCTTGCAGACCAAGGAGGAGAGTTGTTATCATTGAGATATGACTTAACAGTATCTTTTACAATTGAATTGTGGAAAGTCTGTTTTCAAAGGAGATGATAATTTGCTTTGCTGGCATTTGAAAGTGGGGTAAGTTTCAATTGGCTCCAAAAGAATGGGGCACTTTGATTGACTTAAGGTTTGTTGTAAATATTTTTGGCTCCTTAATAAGGCTCTCAGGTACCATTTGCAAGATACGTTGCTATGAATAAAATTGACAAAATGAAAAGATATCATATTGCCAAAGTGTATCGAAGAGACAATCCAGCCATGACAAGAGGACGTTACAGGGAATTTTATCAATGTGTAAGTAGCATCATAATTATCAAATTGTTACACTATTCAAAGTTAGACAGGAAAAATAGAGGCGGCAGATATGATCTTTGTCCACAATGAGATCAGATACGGCTTTTCCTTGGCTGCAATGTGCAAAAACCTGGCCTTTTGTGAAATGGTTTCTTTCTGTTCATCATGTTTATCTCTCTTTATCACTTGTAGTTTTATCTAAGCTTATCCTGCTCTGCTAAGAAATCACTCTCTATTAGGAAAAATTTTGTCATCATGGCTGTTACATTTCTTCAGGATATTGACATCGCTGGGCAATATGATGCTATGATTCCTGATGCAGAATGTGTAAAGATTGTATCAGAAATACTTACAGACTTAAAACTTGGAGACTTCACCATCAAGGTATCACTTCTAATAGTTTTTAATGCTAAGAGATGCATTTGCCTGATTGTTGAAAACTTTATTAAGAATTTAATCTATGTGGCCATTCTTGGGTTTTATTGAACAGCTTCTCAGTGCTTTTGTTCTGACTGTTCCAGGTGAATCATCGTCAGTTACTTGATGGCATGTTTGCTGTTTGTGGGGTGCCTGAGGAGAAGTTCCGATCAATTTGTTCTGCTGTTGATAAACTGGACAAGGTGGGTTAATTCAAGCAAAGAATAGATTATGTGCAAAAGACATAGAAAGACAAGAAATATGTGGCTAATTATGAATAACGAAAGGCTGAGTATTTTGTTCTTGTGTCTCAAAAGTTGGAAAGTGTCAAACATTCTGAATTTCTCGAAAGGATTTTAAGCTCTGCTCTATCAACTGAGCTACAGAGACTTTATCAGCATGCTAAGTGGAAAATGAGTGAAAAGGTTATTCAATAGAGAAAGATGAAGATTGTTGGTCTCAAATGTGGCACTTTCTTCCTCTCAACTGAAAATCCTTTAACTATCTGTACTGTTTTGTTTCTTCACTACACACAGCTTCCTTGGGAAGAGGTGAAGGCCGAAATGGTGGGAGAGAAGGGACTGGATCACAGTGTGGCAGACAAGATAGGAGAGTATGTGAAACTTAAGGGAGGAATGGAACTAGTAGAATCACTGTCAGCAGATGAAGCTCTCAGTAAAAACAAGAGTGCCAAGGCTGCATTAGATGACATGAAACTTCTTCTCCAATTTGTGGGATTGTTTGACATCACAGATAAGGTTAGTTCTACGAGCAGTGACATGTCATTATGATAGGCCTCTGCAACCTCTACTCTGTGTGCAGTCATTATTGTATCAGACCTGTTTATATTCATGCAATTCATCTTGGCAAGAAATATTTTCTCAAGAATTCACTTGAACACCTTAAAAGAGAGAGGGGTTATGCTTTGTTCTTTGAGAAAAATTTCTTCCCATTTCAGGTGTCATTTGATCTGAGTCTGGCCAGAGGATTGGACTATTACACTGGTGTGATATATGAAGCAATATTAACAGGAAAACAACCAGATTTAGGAAAAGCAGCTAAAGGTAAAACTTAATGTACTGTACAACATAATCACTAACATTAATAACAAATCAGAGGTTCAAAATTGTAAAAGCAAGAAGATTTACTATGAAAAGATGTTATCAGGGCTGATGTTAGACAAAGATTATTTATCAGCAGTGAGAGTGCAAAACACTGTTTCATTCATTTTCTTTAGTCCTGAAAGGTCATCTGATGCTGTCCAAGAAACAGTGATCACTGTAATTGTCATAAATCAGTCTTATTCCATGATTGTGTTTTTTGTTAGGTGAGCCTGTAGGAGTTGGGTCGGTGGCTGGTGGCGGTCGCTATGACAACCTGGTCGGAATGTTTGATCCCAAAGGGAGGAAGGTGAAACAGTAGCTTATTACACGTGACTGATCCTTAGTGGTTATCACTTGTCAACTACGCTCATTCACACTTAAAGTACTTAGTTTGAAATTAATCATTGAGTTTTTCAACGACTCTGAGGATAGTGACGAATTTTGAGCCTTAACTGAGTGCTCTCTGAAGAAGTGGCGTATGTTAAATGAAGCTCCATAATTTTTGTCCCATCTCACCGCGTACCGCATGTAACTACTCTTGATTTGTTTTTTCAGGTGCCTTGCGTTGGAGTTAGTATAGGAATAGAAAGAATATTTTCCATTCTTGAGGCTAAAGCTAAGGTAAAAATGGTATTTAAATATTAATTAAGGCGCTTCTTAGTTATTTCAAAGCGGACTTGCTCACATCTAAGTTATTTTAAATAGCTGACTCACTGAAGATTTCACAGAAGCTTCTTCTTTTCGTGAAGAATTTATTGAAGACTGAGGAAATTTACTTTTGAGGAGCTCCATTGACATTAGTTGTGATGTGTTTCAAACTTGTGGTTTGTGTTTCAGGCAGCAGGTAAAGTGCGGGCAACTAAAACACAAGTATTAGTGGCGTCGGGACAGAAAAATCTCTTACCTGAACGATTAAAACTAGTCAACCAGCTGTGGCAGGCAGGAATTAAGGTAAAGATTTCTCAAGGATAGTAATTATCTTAAAGTAGGTAGACCTTGTTGAGCTGAGTTTTTGTAATTTGATCGGCATGAACACAAGACTTTTTTATTATTAAACTTTTGTGTTTTGAATTGGTGAAAAGCAAGGATTTTCAACTGACTACTGCGCGTGCTCTTGCAATCAGTTCAACGACTTAACTTGTTGTGGAAAGGTAGTGAAATGAACGATACTGGTCTACCATCCAGAAAAGCTGTCAGCTCATTTATACTTCATTTGGTATGGCCTTTTTTCCACATTTTTGAATCCCAACTGATGAGATTCCAAGGGCAGGCAAGACTGAAACATATGTCAAGCTTTGGTTGGAACTCGACTGAATCTTTCATCGCTCGCTTTGTTCTTGACCCCCTTGTGAACGTTAGTGGTTTTTTTCCCCGTATTTCAAGTAGCTTGCTTGAGAACTCTCATTCATAGCTAACCATATTGTCTTTTTATCTTGTTTCTTCATTTTTCGTAGGCTGAATTACTCTACAAGAAGAATCCCAAACTGCTGAATCAGTTTCAGTTCTGTGAAGAAAATGGAGTCCCGTTTTGTGTGGTGATTGGTGAAAGCGAGCTCCTGCAAGGAGTTGTAACTCTTAGAGACATGGCTTCCAGAGAAGAGGTCAGAAAATGTTCTTACGAAAATATCTTTCGTGCTTTTTGCTTTATACTTTGCTTCTTAACACTTTTCTAGATGCCTCACTGAAACGTTGATTATATTTACCATTTTCAGGCTCTAATAAAACGGGAAGAATTGTGTGATGTGATCAAAAGACGGTGCTCAGTAATTGAAGCAGAATCAGAATAAAAAGTTAACAAGTTTGAAAAGACATTGAATTCCAAACAACTGCTTCCTCAAAGACGAAAACTTAGCACAATAGCAAATAAATTTAAGAGTTTAACCAGAAATAAATCGCACCTTGCTGCTCCCTTGTTTTCAGGGTTGAATTAACGCAAATACAATGTACACCTGAAGAAAGAAAAGACAATAAATAGGTTCTTCTAACTACTTGCCTGTTAATTTTATGCATACGTGGAAATAAATATTACCTCGTCTTGTGTGAGACAGCTCTCAGCAGCTTAAGCTTCAGTCTCGTAGTAAAGTGTATTGTTATAGACCCGTCCGGCCCCGCCCACTGATCCCTCTAGAAAACCGTAATGGAAGCTGACGTTTGTAGGGCCAGACTCATTATCGTGAGCACGCGCAAACATAAAGGTTTCCAGGACTCCTGCTGCATATTCCCCATTGTTGCAGTCCTTCCCTGAAACGCAAATTAGGATAAAAAGAGCACAAGGTCAGAAAATAACTTTCTCAATTAGTGCGAAGGAGCCGGTTCTATCGTGGTCAGTAAGAGCAATTACTCACAAAACACACCACATCTTTCGGTAGGTTGTATTTGGTTGTATTACGAGTTTGAAGAATGTTGTAAACTATTTCAGAGAGGGTTCCGTTTAGTGCGAAACGGGAACTTCTTTCCTCTATCATGTTAGGGCGAGAACGAGATGTTAGAGAGGTAAATCCTTGTTACACGCCACAAGCACCCAGTTTGTCGTGTTAGAAACGTAATCTAAAGTGCTTCTTTTTTCAGTTTTCTCTTTGTGGTTGTGTTCTTGTCATGTGAGTCGTATGCCATTGATTAGAATTAATGTGACGTTTTCTTATTAGCACTTACTACACCTGCTGAACTTTGCATGTAAAACTTGTCTAGTTCATATTTGCATGTTAAGTGTTTATATTAAACCCTTTGATCACTGATTCTGTACTTTAATTTTCATTCAAACTGAATGCGATCCTTCCGGTTTCCGCTGGAGATAAACACCTCAATAAAATCATATCTCCATTTGAACGTCCTCCGTTTTACTTTTAGGAACCGAAACACCGCCGAAAACTCAGTTTAAAAAAATTAGCTAGCGTAGCAACGCAGTTTAAAGATGCCATGATGAAAAAAGAAAGTTGGGTCAAACTTGTGGATGGACAATGGGATAAGTGCCCAGGAAATGGAAATTACAGCCATTAAGTGAAAAACACTCACAAATTTGACAAAAACTTATCCAATGAGATATTCTCATCAATGCAAATATTGCCATCGTCAATATCTCCCGTCCATTATCAGGGATGAATAATTTCTTTCTGCAGAATTATTCTGAAGGAAATCAACATGTGCGTGCTAACATCTGTTTCCCGACTGACAAGCGTCGCTTTGTTTTGAACACTGAGTTGATTTTGTGAACTGAAAGTTGAATACCGTGTTGTGAATGAGACTGAAATGGGAACTGGAGGAAAAGACAAAGATGGAGAATCAGCACAACTTGTGGGAGGATCTAAAGACTTAGAATCGGGTGAAGAAGATGATTCCATTGACAAGTGTAAACCTGAGAAAAAAGGCTTCGGTGCTAAGTGTCTGACTTGTTTTCGCGGTTGCTTTGGATTCATCTTGTTCCCGTTCGTGTTTATTATCACGTTCATAGCTTGTCTTGTCTGGATTATTCTGTTACCAGGTTTGTTGACAATTTGAACTGATATTTTCGGTGCTTTTAAGCCGTATTACTAATTCTAAATGCCGACCATAATAAAAGCAAACGACACCGCCTGTTTTTTTTTTTGTCTCGTTTATTAAAGGTTCAAAGGACGGATGATGAAATTGTGTTTTATCAAAAATGTAAACTTTTAACAGCCATCTTTTAGTAATTTATTGAAATGAATTTTTGGACGGCCAGAAGATCTTAAGTGTACGTTCTCCGCTAATACGTAACCGATCATATTTTAAAACAATAGACTCGTCTTGAAAGAGGCTTCATTGTTTGACGAAAAATACACCGCTGGGTTTTCGCTGCGAACGTTAACGTCAATGCTGATTACGACAATAACAAAAAATAACAAGAGCTATTTCAAAATGGTAGAAAAAGGCCTTTTTCACCAATATTCCAAGAACACTTTTCCAATCCAAACTTACGCGATTGGCGTGTTTTTCCATTTGAATAGTATCAGCTGCCAGCTCCTAGAATTGAAATAACCTAACAAATAATATTCGAAAATGCTTTAAGTGATTCAGTTTATTTCTCATTGAAATAAATATCTCTTTTCGTTTTTCAGCTAAATGTTGTTCTCCCTGCTGCGCTCCACTATTTGACTGGCTCGTTCAACTTCTGATGCTGCCCGTTCGGTTTTATCGTTGGGTACTTGGAAAAGATCGAGACGAAACTAAACAATAAAAGAATATATCAAAGATCGTGTTCCATTCAATTTAACACTTAATGTTTACAATGCCTCGTGCAGCATTCAAGTGTAAAAGTACAAGAGGTGTTTCCTCCCAAAAAGATGTATTTTGAAATTGGTTCCAACATCCTTCCGGATGATATTTCAGTTACAGAGGGTCAAAGGAGCTTTCTATTCCTTACACTTTTATGCCATTTTTTAAACCCTTCTTCAGGCAGTTGAACCTCCGATTTAATTTCAGTCTTCTCTGTACAATGCTCTGGGAGTATATTTACTTAATTCCGTATAGAAAACGTATATGATGAAATTTGACTTTTGAAAGCAAAACCTTTACCTGAGATATGCTGAAAGACGTTTGCCTTCCTTAGTCCATAAAGCTACGCTACGGCCGGTCAACGTACACGAAAATAAGAATTATATGTCATAGGCCTAAACCAGCAAATCCACGACAATCCCCTCCTCCTATCAGCCTATCATTTTGTCATGAGTTTTGTCCATCCTATCTGTGTTTCAAGTTGTGTCTGAGAGCGAATACCCTGGGAACAAGTTCTCCAGAATAAGCCTCCTCGCGTAGTACCATATTACCCCTATAGACTCGAGGATATTCGTCAAACTGAATTCAGATGAATTTTTTCCTCCATTTCTCAGATCTGATTTCTTTCAGTCTGTACAATCCTTTAAATTTATTTTTCTCAGTCTGAGATCAAGACCGGTTCCAAAATTATTTGCTGGTTCCAGGATCCGCTCTTTATGCCCTTGCGTTAAGATTCACTATACGAAGCTAAAAGGGCTGACCGGTAGAACTTTTTCCCAAGGTCCCTTTTATCCGACACAAATTGAATCGGAAATTAAACGGAAAAGATTCGCGACAGAGCGGATCCGACCAAGAACGAGGAAGGTCACATGGATTTGATTAAAACTAATGAAGCAGTATGCTTAAAATGCTTAATGTGATGAACATTGAACTGTAGGCAGCGTATAAGGCCGTGACGAACGTAAAATTATGAAATTACGATGAAACAACTGAGCAAACAATTCACAGTTCTCACCGATCAAAGAACAACAAGTCAAACAGTTTCTTCATTCATTTAATACCTTTTACAGTGCTACGCACAATCACAGGGTATGTCGTGTCTGGGGCTACCTGTTAAATCTTTTAACGAAAATATTTCGCATGATTAAATACGTATCATGTTGAAGGTAAAAAGAAAGGAATTCCCACCAATCTATTCATCTGAGAGTTCATCTCGAGAAGAATCGTCGTCGTCCATTAAATCGTTTTCGTCATCATCATTTTCGTTCTCGTCAGCATCGTATTCTTCTTCTTCTCCTTCGTCTTCTTCTCCTTCGTCTTCTTCTTCTTCTTCTTCTGTTTCTTCTCCTTCGTCTTCTTCTTCGTCTTCTTCTTCGTCTTCTTTTTCTCCTTCTTCCTCGTCTTCTTCTTCTTTTTCTTCTTCCTCTTCCTTCTCTCCTTCCATCTCTTCTTTGTCTTCTTGTTCGTCATTCTCATCACCTTCATTGTCCTTAAGGATGTCATTGAGTTCTTTATTTTTCTCCTCCTTGACCATCGTAGCGGGGCTGTCGGAATCTTCACCAACCGATTTAGCATAGGCCAATGTTGCCAGCAACGAAACGAATAACGCGAATAGCAACCTCATGACTCCGAATGTTGATTATTTCTTTTTCCAAAAAAGATGTACCTTTGACTTCCCTTTTGAGTAGTTAGGACGCAACTGGTGTATGATGTAAGAGCAAAGATTTCAGCCCATTTTATGTGAGCGCTTATTGATTTTTCTAAGAAAAACGTACCAAAAAACAAATAAGAAAAGCAAATACTATAAAAATAGGATTAGTAAGTGCGAAAGGTTACTTTTTCAGCTTGTTGTATAAGTTTGTACACCTTATCCCGCTCATCTTGAACTCAAGTTTTGCGTGGAAAACGGGTCCTGCAACGTCATGAGGTACTTGAAAACTTTCTTGAAAATCAAAAATCATTACCTGTAAGCCTGAAAAAGCAATTGGAGTTATTTTGATAAGAACCAGATTTCATCCGATTGATAGACCTAATCATGGTATAAGCTAAGATTCTTTTTTGTATAGATACGTTAGAAATTTAGAGGAAAACTCACCTTGGACTGAAACTTGGAAGGGAAGCGTGGGTTCACTTGAAGCGTTGATTAATGTCGTCTATTCTGAGATTTGTGTGGGTGTGTGGGAGGTGTGAGATGAAACATATACGATTTCGCAGAGCACTCATAAATAAATTAAGTAAGATAACTTTAAACGCTTGCAGGTCACAACTAAAAATCAGCTGAGCTGACTTTAAAATTGAAACTTCACTAGCATATAGCAAACGACAAAAAGTAGTTCAGACTTTAAATCTGTAACAAGAGCAACAGCACATCAAACTAAACAGCGGACTTTAAATGAATTTTGCTCCGAAGACTGTTTATCTACCTCATTTAAACAGATGCTTGGTCTTGAAACTAAATCTTGACACTTGAATTATTTCGCTTTATTTCTGAACACGAACGTGATGAGAAATCTTTGAACAGTTTAAGGTAATCAAGCGAGGTTATTCAGTTGATATACACCGTGGTATAAAACTTATCAGTTTAGAAGGGAAGGTACTAATAGCCGAGGTGCGAGAGATTAACAGAGGGTGTTGATTTCCCAGCCATGTCACCTATCTCTGAGAACCAAACAGGTGTTTGACAAACTTGTCAATCTTAAGCACATAATGTTTTCCTATACTGGGTTAACTTTGATCAAGTCTTGACCAGTAGGGAAAGTGCGACCAGGCAACGAATTTCGTTTGGCTCAAAAAGCTTCATCGCCATCCACAAATGCTGGAAAAGCACTGAGTTACATCATCTCTATCTTGCCGTAAAATGGTTTTAAAATTGCTATGTAATACCAAAGGTTGCCGAAAAATTTATTCAGCGATTCTTTCATGTCCTGTAAAGTATATGAAACTCTATAATTAAGGATTAAGAAGCAGTAATTGTCCCGTACCTACACTGTACGGGAATCTAACTCGTGATTCCATTAACTCGCCTCTTCGTTGATTGCCTAGATCGCATGTTTTTCACGCATTAATAGGGTTTTTTTTCCTTTTCTAAAATTTTATGAAGTCTTATCGATATTTGTAGGGCCAACATCAGTTCATGTTTCATTAACTTTCCTTAACTTTCTGATTTTGGATTTATCTCAATACATGGCCATTACTGGATAATGAATATGAAATCAATTTTCCATTGCTGTTCTTGTTGTTCTGTCTAAAACTGTCCTTCAGTCATGCAGATCAGTTCCAGCATTAAAGAGGCAGGCCTGCAGTTCGTGACCCACAGTTAATTATACTTCTAGAATTATTCATACGTCACTCTGCTATGTGTGATACATGAGATCCGTTTTCGAAAATCTCGTTGCTAACCGTTACTGAAAAGCTGAGTTTTGTTTGCCGTGTTCAAAGTCAAAGTCGACTTGTTAAGTAAGACGAAAAATATGGACCGATTTTGAGGTAAGATTCACTTCCTTATTCCTTGAATTAAGATTTTTGAAGATTTTTCCAGGTCTGTAAAGTTCCCACGACTTTTCAAGAAACAAGCCCCATCTGCACATCCTCTCTGATAGGCAGTGCCTTGTACTCTTTACCGACGTCACGGTTTCTTACGAAGTACGGCGATGTAAATATATTGAAATACGATTTTAGAAGAAGTTGATGCACACATAAGTCAAAGTTGAGCTAAATTACTTACCATTTCAAACTTCACAAAGAGCACGATTCGTGCGCTGTAAATAATTCATGCGGTTGCTTCAGCCAGTAAGATTCTAGAACATCGTGCTGCGTTCGAGACTTGAACATTAAAAGAAATTATAACTCTTTTCTGTTGATTCTTGTCTGTTTATTCCAACTCTGAATATTATATGTCCTTTATAAAGCTTGAGAGGAGTCGCTAAGTAAACTTCGCTTCTTTTTGCTCATGTGCAAATGTCCGACACATACATTATGATTACAGAACCCCATAATAAATAAAATTACTTGAACCGACACCAAGATGCTGCGGTTCAAAAGACTCTCCTTTGTACGGGCTAAATAAGCGTGCGTGAGCCGAAAGATTATGGTCCGAAATCAAAGGGCTTAAATGTATCCATTTGTGTTCAAAGTAGGGAGAGGTTTTGCCCATTCTACAACTTAAAGTCGGTGTAGAGAGTGACTTGTGTTGGAGTTTGGTCAAACCAGCAAGATATATCATCTTTCAGCAGGAGACGGTGATTGTGAAGTAGTTCTATCACTCCAACTGAGCTTGGGGAAATATTTGCAGGGATGGAGACAGTGTTACCTTTAGAGACCACCTTGTTTTTATGTGTCTTTTACCTTATTGTTTAGACGGAATGTGCATGAATGTGTGACAGAGACATGAGGGGAAGAAGAGCAAATCAAAGGAAAAGGAAGAAAGAGACCCTGGAGATGTTTAACATATTTCAAGAAGCACCTTAAAGGAGAGGGGTCTGGTATGTAGATGTTATATTGTTGATGGTCAAACAGAAAGGACTTGTCAGGAATCTTTGTTATTTAAAAGCTTAGACTGAGTAGAATGATAAAAACTTGAAGTTGAGACATGCTCTCAGTTATTGATTTAATTCGGATCGCAAATAACAACTACATATATATTGATGAAAGTACGGAAGCTTTTTACGATGAAAAAGAGTTGCACTGTAACTTAGGAATGAAACTGTCGGTTCAAGTTGCCTCCCCGCACAAGAAGGAATCAAAATCATCACAGGAATCACAGTTTTCCTTATGCAGTGACAGAGTTCATCATTTAATATCTTTGTTGGTATACATCTAGTTTCGTTCTCCAAATTATTTATACTTGCAATTCAAATTCGGCTTCCACCCCTTATGAATGTAACTTCCATAGGGAACGGGGCGCATCATCCTTTTACTCTGAAGATCAAAAAGCTAACTTTCCCTACTGAAGGCTATACATTGTTATATTATCAAGTCTTGGGAGATTAATGGTTTATTTTGACATATTTCCCTGATAAAAACTTTCTAACCTCTCGCTCCCCTTCCAATTTTATTGTGTGCAAATATCTAACCCAGCAACATGAAGGTAGATACTGATTTTTGAGTCTCCACATGGAATAATCGCAACTTATTTACTGCCAAGCTAATGGCCTGTACTACTTAGGGACTAAGTCACCCATCACCTTTAAAACAATTTTCAATTACAAATGGGGAGTTAACTTTTGACACGATCTTCTAACATCTTTAGCCTCTTGTTCGGACAGGCCCCATGCAATTTTTTTGGCTTACAAATGTACCTTTCTTATACCGGTACAAGAAGTATTTGATAGAGCAAATTGATCATAGTTTGTCCATTAGAACCTATCGCAAAGGATTTCGTTTTCAAGTTTCTAATTCAATTATTATTGACAATTGCTCTCGAACTCTGAGCATGCGATAATTTCCGCACTAACTGCATGATCAGAACTGTTTTTTATTCAAAACGTATCTGACTATCTAAGCTAACCTCTTCTCTGGCATGGATTGGTACAGAATACATGACAGGAAAGGTAGGCTAGCCTTACCTAACACTGGTGTACAGTGTATTTAGCTTTCTCATTCTCACTGGTGATTCATCATTGTATTATCTTTTATGATATCAAGATATTGTTTTACGAAAGGTAATATGCTGTGATTAAACAAACTCAACTATCTAAACCAAGCTATGAGAAAGACTGATTACTCCAATCGGGATTTCCAGATGCCTAAACCTGACTGTTCATCATTATGACCAATTCTGACTTTGCCCGGTTTCTCTCTCGGCTTAACGTGCAAGGCATTTCCCATGCTTTCCGAAAGTCGTGCTTGCCGAAGATGTACAAACAAGGGTTAAGGATCGAGGACGCGAACCGAAGATATCCGAATAAGTACTGGGTCCACACGGGTAGATAAAAAGAATTAAAAATTTCTTGGAATTTTATGAGGAAGAAAGGCAACCAGCATGCAACATGGGTGAAAAACATCACAAGAAAGATAAAAGCGGCTTTGCCATTGCGCTGCCTCCATAGTCGCTGTTCTGACTGTATTGAGGCCGCTGCCGCAGGAATGTTTTGATACTCTCGGCGAATTTGTCGACGCACTTCACGCAAAATGATTAAATAGGCGACAGCCATGAAAAGAACTGGCATGACGAGATACAACACAACACACGCAGTGAAAAAAGCTTTCTCCTTTTTTTGCTCTTCCGGTTGGTCTTCCCCCTGGGGATCATAACTTTGTGGCCTGAGCCACCATAACTGCATCAGAGAGACGAACAGTGAACTGAGCCAGATGAAGGCCAAGGCGATGTAGCTTCGTCGCTTGGTCATGATCAGCGGATAGCGCAAAGAACACATGATCGCTATAAAGCGATCGGCAGTCACCGCTAAAATGTGCGAGAGGGTCAGAAATGACGTGAACATCCAGATGTAAACTGAAGCAAAACACGGGCCATGCTCTTGAAAAATGTTGCACGTAATGCTCAATGGCAAAGTGATGAACCCGTTGAGAAGATCACTGGCTGCTAATCCGATGAGGAAAAAGTTCGTTGGGGTTCTGAGAGAGCGCCTCTTGGTTACAAGGATGAACACAAGTGAATTTATAAGGACAATGACGAAGGCCATGAACATACCAGGGAGGTCGTATTTCGCGACGAAACGAGGTGACCAGTCATCTTCATAGTCTTCGTGTCTTGGGGAATAGTTTTGACTTTGTCTCGACTCATTATGAGGAAGATTAGTTATGTTTTCCTCACGCATTATCCTGTGCAACACGAAGTCCTGCTTTTACTTCTGTAACTTAGAGTGAAAATGGAGGGCCAACAGCACGATGAAAAAGCTAAAAGGAAACAACCGGAACGTATTTGCATTAATTTACGAGATTAACATTCAACTATCTCCCAAGAGAGACATTATTGTGATTCAATGAGCTGCAAAGCGCTCGTAAAAGAGTTTTAATTAAATCAGCACTACCACAATGTTTTTTATTAAGCTTAAGTGGACTAAATAAACTTGGGATGGATTTTTAGTTGTTTCACAGTCAGGACATTTTTACAATTTGATGAATTCGAGTGATCCGTTTTACTAAAAAATTAAGTCGAATCAACAGGGTAATTAAGTGTTATCAACCGAGTTGATAACGTAAATTGGCCACCGTGAAGAATTTAAAAGCTGACGTTTTGAGCATGAGTTATTCATCAAAGTGATTGGAGGAATTGTGGGTTGTGTGTGTGTTTATATGCAGAAAATGGAGCCACGCTATTGGTGGGAATATGGTGACGACAGAACAAGAATAAATTAGTTGAATGAAAAGCCATACCATGGGGATTAAAATTGCCGATTTGAAAGAAATATTTGTTCTAGATTTTTGCAGCTATCGGTACTGCCTATAGGTATAGAGAAAAGCCGCAAACTGCCATATGCCGCTTAGAATGATTGGGGAGATTAAAGTGTCAAGCGACTGGTTTGGATGCGACTTCATCATTTCTTTTTGTCATTTCTTTCTTGTCAGTTCTTTCCTTCTACGTCTCTCGAAGGGCAAACGCTCGAAACGTCAGATTTTAAATTCTTTACGGAGGCCAATTTCCGTTATCAAGTCAGTTTATAATACCTAATTATCCTGTTATACTCTCCCACCGACGCAGCACCAAATATTCCTTAGGACCTCACCCCTCTATTCAGAAGAATCGAGTTAAATCTGGGTAATTTAGTACTATCAACTGAGTTGATAATTATCCCTTCGTCATTCGCCCTGATGATGATTTTAACGCAGCACCACATGCAGTTCCTTTAGAAACTCACCGCCTTTATTCAAATAAAATCAGACCTCTTTTCGCAAAAACTTCTCCGACTTACACATGGATCCTATCTTTATTTCTCTTCCATGAAAGCGGAGTATCCGGAGTAGAAGGAAACAAAAAAAGATGAAATCTACCATTGAATTACTTAAAGTAGTTCAAAAGGTTTTGTCCTGGAAACTCAGTTGCAGGCCACAAGAAGCTTTCGTATCGGACGGAATCTAGATAACCGTTACGTGGACGATCCCGTGACCATCCACCGATAGACGATTACTACTCCAGGATAATTAGACATAATTGATAACCTGGGAAACTATTTCGTGTTTTAATGTCACCTGTCTTTTGAAAGACATGTTTAAGTGAACAAACGTGTTTAGCTTGTTTTGGCTTGGAGTTTTTATGCTTTTATGGCACCCAGAAGCCATTACGTAGCTTTTTTTATCAAGCTCACGGTACTTTTTCGTTATCCATTTGGACAAAATCGGTTCGGTCTTCATTTCAATGTTCGAGTTGATCACCAGTTATCAAAATGCACTAAGTATCTCCACCCAGCTGAAGTCTTTAACACGATCTGAATAAGACATTGAGAAGTCTTATTTCAGTCAAGTTCTATGGCCGATAGCAATAATACCATGATATCCTAAAAACAGGATATATCAATAATCGTAAATTAAAAGAAAAGAAACCTTTCATCGTTAATTTTTGTTGCCAAATTTGCCTCAGGATTCGAGTGTTTCTTGATTACAACATCATTTGAGAAACACGTATGTCTAAGCCAAAGGCTAAACTTTAAAAGAGATAGTAATAGTCATGTCCGATGTTGATGTTCACTGATTGATCTTTTCAAATCGTCCATAAAACAGCTGTCTTACTTGTCTACGCGATTGACTCTTTCCGTGACGGCCTTCCTTCCGTCACTAAGATCGAGATTTCAATCTCAATTTTTCCAGGGAGAGTATTTTTTGCAAATGTTTTTTTTGTTCCTAAATATGACATTTATTGTTTCCACGTTTTTCGTGCCTTTTTTCACGCAAAAAAAAAGAATTATAAGCAACAATTTTGTTCGAGCAAATCCATTCGCAACTGAAAGTTGATCTGTAAGATGATTGACGAGAAATATTAAGTTCTCAAAAAACGGCAGATCTGACGTTTGACCTCTTTCCAAAGAAATCATATCATACTGAAAAGTTGAATAATTTAATTCCACCTACTTTGTACGTTCCATTTATTCCAAGGCTGCTTGATTTTCTTCCGAAAAGCAACAGATTTTGCGCTTGTGATTCAAGCTGTGAGGCGACTCGGAAAGCTGGTCGCAGAAATGAATAAGTAGCACAAGCGGGTAAGTAATTGATAGCTGGAATATTTTCAGGTAGCGTTGTTGTTTTTTTAGTTTTTCTGTCTGTAACCCGAAGGTAACTTTCCTGCAAACATTTTAGCAGTAATTGAATAATGGAGCAGAATAGCGTCAGTAATAATATCATGGCCGCTTAGTTTGTTTTTAATGACCATATTTTGCAACTCAGACTGCAGATACTCACTGCTGGTGAGATGTCAGTTCATGCAAATCATCTTGCTTAAGGAATAGCTTTCCCTCTAATCTAACTATCTTTGTCCTTAGGCTGATATGGGACAAAAATACCAATAACTATTGGAGACACTTGACGTAATCTAAAAAATAACACAAAGTGGTCTATTTGCCCGCAGAGGACAATCAAGAAAGCTTTTATGTTTGTTTTTAAAACAGCTTTTAAGGTGAAGGTAGCTCTTGTTATCGCGGAAATTTTAGCCAGCATGCGTAGCATTTGTTGTGGACATCGTGCTATGTTCGAGTCTTTAAAAAAAAAAAGGGGCTTCCTTGAACTCAAATTAGCCTTGTCTGCCGATCAAAAACATAGAGCACTACTTTACTTTACTCCTCCTCCCTCGCAAACATTTTTAATCACGCTTGATTTGGCTCAGCCACGCACCAAAGATATTAATTTGAATTTGGAAGAGACGAAAAAAATCACGGCAAAATGAATGGTCAATGATATATTAATCTCATCCACTCATTCACAAGAGAAGGTTTCCCTTTGATTAGTTGGGAATAAAAAATTAATGTAAAATGAAAGGCTTATCCAATTCCTTTTGCCTTAGCTTCTATACGAGGTAACATCACATTAGTTTTACTGAAGCAATTGGATGTGCTTTACAGCGGGTAAGAAAATGTTTATAATACTAAGTAAGACAAAATTTTACCTTTGTTTAAAGACTCGATTACTCTTTGTTTAAATGTTGTCTGAGGGCTCTCTCTTCCCACTCTAAGCTGCACTGATGGCGGGTGATTAAATGAGTCTAAAAGACCAAAAGCTAAGTTGGACCAGCTCATATCAGTAACATTATGGAGTACTTTCCTGTCCAATTGCGCTGTCATATAAGTTTACACAAATCATTTATATTTGATATCAAGTGTGTGGCCGCATCTACACTTAAAGCTTTTTCGGGTAAAAACGACAATTGAATCGGTGTGGCTTCGTTAAAGCTGTTTATCTCTAAATCGCTTCGAACCAATTGGTGCTAGTTTCGTCACCAAACTTCATTGCCTCGACATTTTTGCCAAGAGCCTTATTGTTTTCGTCCCCCATGTACTCCAATTTAAAGCAGCTAATATATATGCAGGATGTTTCTTGTCACTTATGGACACTTGTCGCGCCCAAGGAAATATTCCATCATTATTTATACTTGATTACCATATCAGCTGTCCTTTTAAGACAAGTTTTCGACCCAGCATAATTTAAAACCGGGGTGATATTCACGCCAACATCGAAAGCTTAAATGCAATTCAAGACAATTGTGCGCGGATTTTTTTTTTTAGTTTTAAGAAGCTGATGTTTTGCTTTTAAAAGCAGTGCCTCATTACGTTAAATCCATCAGCGTTGCTTTCATAACGACCAGTTTGTGTTTAAAGAGCAGCTTTAATCAATTTCTTATGGAAAGCTTTAAAGCAATTTAAGAGAATCGTGCGATGAGTTTTTTGAGTTAAAGTAGCCCATGTTTTGTTTATAATAGCAGAGCCTAATTGCTTTACATGCAAAGAAAGTGGAAATGGCAGAAAGTTCTGTTGTCAAACTGTGTCTGAATATTTAAGACAAAGAGCCTTTTTTATTTACATTTGCGGCTGTAGCTTATTAGTAATCAAAAAAAAAAATGTGGTGATATTGTCACGCACAGTTCTCGTAAATTATTGACGGTAAATTTATTTGACTCTGAATAAGGCTGGCTTGTACGATTTTCATCTAAATATCGCCATTTAGGTAAATGCAATGTTTCATAAATTCGGTGTTTCATTCATAATAGCAATAAGATTTATGGGGTCCCTATGAAGCAAGCGACTGGTAACTTTTATTGGGTTAATGCCAGTGTATTCTAAAGTAATTCTATAACCGCATTTAAATCCTTTTTCCTCGCCTTTCCCATCGATAAAATATCGTCCTTAGTGCTTTAATGAAATTCTGTGATAAAAGAACGTCTCCTCGCCCCACCGAAGGAAGGTTCTTTATGTATCCCTCTCAGATATTCTTTATGATAAATATCTTGTCCGTTCTGGTTTTTTTAAAAGTTCTCATTCGCCCGAGGAAACATAATGTTACTTGAGATATCATTAAAATATAGTCGCTAAATCTAAATGGGTTGTTGTGCAATCACCGCAGACAAAGTCGATAACTAATCGCCAAAGATGAAATTATATCATGCACTCAAAACTCAGGCAAAAAGAAAAGACTCAGTTTCATTACTCGTATCAGTTTTTAGATGAATAACAAATAAAATAAATGCGGTAGTCCTTTTGCAATAGTTCGTTGTATGAAGGAAATAGAGACGGAGAAAATTGAAAGTATTTGAATGCAATGATCAATCGAAGTATTTATCAATCACCCATCGGTGTTGTGTTCATAACGACCAGTTTATGTTTAAAAAGCAGCTTTTATCAATTTCTTACGGCATTACTTATCTCCGATTTAATTCGTGAGTTACTCATCGAACAATTTCGAGCTTCGGTTGAGAAAGGAAAGGATTGCAAAAGGAAGAACTTATTCTATTTTTGGAAACACTTAAGAATAATAGAAATTTGCCATTTTTTTGAAAAGCATTTAACTGCATTAGTTATTGAATAGCAGGTGGTCTAAAAAAGCGATCGCGTTACGTCTGACTTTTGTTCGCCTTAAATTATTGATCGGATAAGTCAGAGAGATGGAGAGAGAAGAGAAGCTTTGCATAAATCATTTTCATGAAAGGTGACGGCTGTTTAAGTTTACAAACAACTCAACTGATATAAAGAGTACTCATCAATAAACGACCTGTTATCTATTGCGAAAAGGGTGTTTTGTTTACCCTTCTGATGAGTCAGATGTCTGGTTTTTCTCTGAGGTATTTACACAAGTTGCTAACCAAGATGTCAGTATAAAAATTATGCATACAGCCATCAACATTAATGCGTGAATGTGTCTGCTTACGATTCATATTCCTAATTAGATTAAGAATAGAAACCCGCCTTCAGAATGCACGAAGAGTTCCGATTTATTTTAATCAAGTCGGCAGAGTGTTTCATATTCCCTAGAATGAAATATTTTCTTGGAAAACAGAAATGAAAGTCTCAGCTTATCATGATAGATTTGATTAAACATGCCAAATAAGGTTAAGGTCAATTTTATCACCATAAACGGAATTACACTAATTTTTTAATTTATCTACAACAGCTCCGATCTCTCTCACTTTTATCAGTTCTGTGTCAATACCCAGAAATACGTGATCAAATTATTATTCTAAAATGGGTTCGCTATGTCTAGTATTTCCCCATCCGTGATTTTAGCCTGTTAGTTGTCGAAACGCTCTCTCATATTGCATCTGCCGTCGGGTAAATATTACATTCCGGGAATATAATACTACAGACTGATAAAATATTCCAAACATTGTATTACTGGTTGACAATATTGTGCTGTTGTATAATCTTTTGATTGAGTTCCTTTTCTCGTTTCTTAAAAATTGATGAAAACCGCACAAAACAATAGATCAGCAAACTAATGATAAAAATTTGAAACGGTAAATTTTTGAGAAAAAAAGGTAACTTTTCCGAAATACAATGGTTTTGAATGAGTATTGATCAAAATTATCCGGTTTACGTCGAAACTACCAAAGATGACTCAAAGGTTTGGGTTTTTGTCGAAACTTTGAGACGAAACATAATTTCATAGTGAAAAGTATTATGATATATCATTTAGTATAAGGACATAACCATCTTCCTTACTTTTCCGGCTGAAAAATAGCCGAAAGTGAACTCTTGAAGGCGGATGAAGATTTCTGTACACAGTTTACAGAGCAAGAACAAGAAAGCTTACTGCAGTGTCGTATTATTCAATTTTAAAATTATGTTTCTGTAACCTTTTCTCAGGAATAACCACAATTTTTGTTTCGCGATCAAAAATGCAGGTCACATATTACTCACCTTTTCTAGAATATTGCCCTTGACAATTGGTAATAATAATGAAATAAAGGAATGAAACATTAGCGAGGTTGGTGAGAATATTCTAAAAGACTCACCAACGTGAAAGGTTTCTCTCACTGCCGCTCTCTACTCTGGGTATGATCTTTCACCTACACCAAGTGTTGTTCGATCTGTGGGTGACCTGTATTGTGCGGAACTCTGTTATAGATATCGATCGGCTGCTTGATGTTTTGATGGCCGGTATGATGGCTACAGACATTAAGTACGTCATTACTCTTTGTACGCATGGGCAATGAGGGCGGTCTCTCAGTTTGGTCGAAGTTAAAGCAATAAACCCTAGTTAATGTCATAACTATATTTAAAGACTGAAAGCTTCCTTAAACTTCCTGAAAAACCTTTCCAGAAGCCAAATGAAAACAATATTTTATGGAATGAGATATTTGTCTCCGGAGATTTGGAATGTGAATCTACTCTTTGTTTCCTGTGTCTGATTGGAACAGAGGGTCTGTTACTTTAGAATCGGTTTTGTCGCGGCTATTCACTTTTACGACATCCTGTCTATAACTTTATGGAGATTTTCCCTTTTCAGCTGGGAATATGAGTGGGTTGGGATGGTGGAGGGGGAGGGAGGGGGAACAGCATTCTCCATTGCTGTATTCCTACATGGCTTACACTCTTACTTTTCAGCCATAAAATCAAGCCATATCATTTCCTCCCCCCCATACTTTAAATTCAAAATACGACTTTCCTTAGTTAGTACTGAGGAGAGTCAGTGAGAAAATATTGATTCAAACTGGTCAGGTTATCGCAAAGAAATCTTGAGGTCATACAATGCCATTGCCGGCGGTAAAGTTATGCTTAGTAATCAGATTCTGCGGTTGGGATCTGTCTTTAACGATTTCTTTTCTAATAACGTATTTATGAAAATAAAAAATAAAAATAAATTGACATAAAACTTTAAAACTGCTTTCTAGACGATGTGGTCGCAAAATATCACTAACGAAGCAAAGTTTTAAGTCAGTCACAAAATCAATGTGTTCAGGTCCTAAGAACAAAAAAAAAAAACCGCGTAGCAAAGAAAATATCAATATTTACCAGCGGAGCAAGAAATTGCAAAGTTAACTAACCGGCTTTAAATTTTTTAAGAAGGAAAGTTTCTTACACGGCGGACGAACAAAATAACCTCAAAATGGTGGCTTCTGCAGAGCACTGAATCCTTCTTCTGTCGAGTTGTGAATCTACCATAAAATCTTATTTGAGATTTATGTGCTCAAAGTTGACCATAGTGATCGAATTTGAATACAAACACGGATACATACAAGGCGGTATTTTTTTCTTAGTTAAAGCAAGCAATCTAAATGAAAAAAGATTTAGAATCTTAAATTAATGTCCTATCGCGACTGCAATACAACGACAAGATCAAAGTGTGTGGGAGATGCAAATCAGTTGTAAGCCATGTTGTAGGATGGCGGAAGATGTTCTTGTTTTGAGCAAGCGTGGGAAAAACAAATAACAGAATATGCCACGTGAATACGATCTCGGTCCAGTTTCGATTTCGGTGTCGATCACTTTTTGGGTTAACAACTACGTTACGCTATAACTCAAACATGTCAGAAATGCGCAGTGGATTTAATTTCGGCAGTTTTGATCATGGCAAGAAAATTCCCCAAGGCCCTTGTCCATCATGTTACCAAGTAACTGCTAAAAAAGAAAACTGCTTGAAAGATTTTGACTCCTTAGGTTACGCAACAAACTTATCTTTTATTTGCGACCGTGCGCTTTGTGCAGTTTATCTGTCTTGATTATCAAAAATATCTGTTAAAAGGTTCAAAGGTTT